AAACGTATCTGCCTATTGTCATGTGGAATTGCTATAATACCACCACTGGATACCGCCAATCGATTTACTGAAGCATCTGTACGTATAGTGGTTAAAGCAGAACGCATATTTCGCAATTCCCAAACTTTTACGGTGCGATCATCTGAACCCGATACAACTTTATCATCTTTGGTAAAAACAGTTGAGGTAACACTCCTTAAAATATAATTTAAAATTAAATTTTCCATAATTTCACTCAAATTGCTGAGGTAACTTACTCTGTGTGTCCCTGAAATACTGATACACCCGGTATAGGATCTCGAAAATCCCATAAGCGAAATGTTGAGTCCCTTGAAGCAGTCACAACTAATCTTTGTGTTGGATGTGCTGAAACATGTGTCAATTCATGATCATGTCCAGTTAATGGCTGTAAAGGTTCTCTGGTTTCTACATCCCATAAAATGGCAGTACGATCCCAACTTCCAGTTATTATTTGATCCATATTGGGCAACCAATCTGCAGCTACAACAACGGACAAATGACCACCAGGACCTGTAAATTCACACAGAGGTGTACGCAATGTATCAACACGATCACGATCTTCAGCCTGGCCATCACTATCATCGAGTTCCTCTTCAGATGAATGTCCCTTCCTAAATTACGAAATAATATACATTATACAATTTCCGAACGAAAGAAAATACGATAATTTCGCTTTTCTACGATTTTCCTATAACATCCTTTTGTACGTTTATCAAAAAGTGATACAATTTTCGGGAGTAGACCTTATGTTAGGACTAAGGAAAATACCTACTATCCCAAACATTCTTTATTATTTATTATAAATGGGAATCATCTTCATTTAAACTCTTATAATCAATTTATAAGAGTTTAAAGTCTTATGCGGAAGTTATGTCGAGTTACAGACTGATGTCATATAAATAGATACATACAAATTTAATCAAGATTTTTATGCGTTAACAACCTCTGTACAAAATACTTTCCTCACTTTAGTAACAGTCAATAAAATTAAATTAAAAGATCTACTTACTTTGAAATTTCCCAATTAACAGCGGCTTGCCAAATATGAGCCGTACCGTCTCCACTACCAGTTAACACTAAATCGCGATTCTGATGAAATTTAATCGAATTTACCGATCCAACATGTCCCGTATATTGTAACAAACAACGACCACTCTCTATGCCCCAGATGCAAGCGGTATGATCTGCCGATGCAGTACCTATTATAGGTTGTCCAACTTTTGCTGCCACTTGCCAAACACCATCTTTATGACCACAGAATTCACGCATTACAGTACTCACTACCGATTGAGCCTTAAAACTAGACACTATACGACTAGTTTGAGCCTTAATCTTATGACTTGCTTTAACTTTACCACCACTAGAGGTGAATTTTGATTTTAAACTTTTACTGCCAGAAGCAGATGCCGTTACTGTACCGACAGCATTGTCGGCGTCATCATGCCCAGTTACAGGTATAATAGCTGAGGCAGCATTGGTACCACCACTGGGGTTCGTAGACGTTGAACGTTCATATGATTGTATGGAATCTTTATTGGTGTAATTGTCCAACTTTTCCTGTACTGTTTAAAGAAAAATAATGATACGTTTTTCCGCTTGACCTATAAAGTGATATACTTACGGCTAAGATTTTCCAAGTATAACATTTCAAATTCCTTTTCTATTTGGAGAAATAGATGATTAAGTCTGGCACGATAAGGTGTCTCATCTGGTATTGTCATACCCATATCTTCAGCCAAACTGGAGAGACGTGCTGCGCGATGTTTTGATGATTTCATATTGTCCCTTTTTTACTAAACTTACTAAAATTTATTTTTTGCGTTTTTTATTATTTGGGAAAAATCACTGCATACAGTTATTTTTTTTATTTTTATTTTTTTTTTTCTTTTGCACCCTTACCACCCACTTGGCTTGTAACACTATTCAATAGAATACTTGTGGAATTTTATTTATTCAATATATAATCCTTTGCATTACAAATGTATATTAATAAACATAAAGTACTTCATTTTATTTTTATTTATTTAACAAACTTTGGATTTTTCGCAAAAGTTGTTTAAGTTAATTAAATCAAAAAAAATTTCTCCAAATCACAAATTGCATTCACAATAACACTATGTCAAATTAATAAACAGCTGATTGTTGTATACTTTAAGAATCGTTAGCAGTTACGTTTAATTTTTTCAGAATTTATCTCTTCAGGAAAATTAATTACAGTTAAATAGATCACCAATTTAGTTAGTATTTGATCATATTAAAATAACATTTGTTTAAATAAATTGTGGACTATAAATTGATTATAAAACATTACGGTTTTGGCATCCCTGAGTTTACAAGGTGCAAATCAAGTTGAATTCACATAAGGTGATGTTATTAAATCAACTGATATTTTTTCTTAATTCGCTTAGTTTATGTAACTGCTAAAGTGTGTTATTGTTTACATTTTCATATTTAAAAATTGCGTAAACAAATATTATTTTATTTATATATTTGGTACGTATATAAAAGTTTTATTAAGGAAAAATATTTTTTCTATTAAATGGTAAGATATTAAACAATTTTGTTTTATATGTTATATTAATATTGTGTAGATAACGAGATTAACTAAAAAATTTTTCCGGAACACTTATATAAAGAAACACATGAAGCACATATGCAGCTCATTTCTACCTTATGTGAATTCGCCTTGGTTCAAATCATAGAAAATGCCTTTAAGAGTAGGGTTCTATAGTTGAAACGAAAAGTCGATTTTTCGACTTTTTCATTTTATTAAAAGTCGACTTTTAGACTTTTCGACTATAAGTATTTTATAAATAGTCGACTTTTCGATTTTTTCGACTTTTTGACTATTTTCGACTTTTTTCGACTATTTTTTGTCTGTTTTCGAGTTTTTCCGACTATTTTAAAGTTTTTGACTTTTTTCTACTTTTTTAAAATTTTCGACTATTTTTGACTTTTTTGTACAATTTTCGAGTTTTCGACTTTTCGACAAAAAGTCGATTGTTCGATTATTCGAAAGTCGATTTATAGAACCCTATTTGAGAGGTTCATCAACAGTGATGCTAGCTTTTGAGGAACCAAACAACAAGAACAATGCCCAAAGGCAAATAGTACTATCATAATCCTGTCTGTTCTGTAAACCGAATCCGAGTAAATTTTTCGTTTAAAAACGAGTTTCCATAATTTTTCTCGTTTTAAAACCGAGTACACAAATCTAGTCGAAAGTAAATCGAATTTAATTTTATTCTAATAATAATTATTTTTTGCGTTTTTTAATACAATTGTAACTTAATATAAATGCTATGGGCATTTTAAACTTTTTTTCATTTAAATATGTTTATTTTTCTGAATTTCACGTTCATATAAAAATTCGCTTTGTAGAACACCAAATTCGGTTTTAAAAGCCTCTCAGTTTTGAAAACGAATCGATTTACAGAACAGACATGAATATAAAATATAAAAAAATATTTAATTTAGAAACACTTGGGCATTACTTTTTTACGTTGGGTAGCTTTCAGTTGGAGTTCGTCGTAAAGTATTTGTTTGGACCTTTGAGGTAGAAGTAGGGTTCTATAGTTGAAACGAAAAGTCGACTTTTCGACTTTTTGCATTTAGTTAAAAGTCGACTTTTCGACCTTTCGACTTTTTCCATTTTATGAAAAGTCGATTTTTCGACTTTTCGACCTTTTTCATTTATTTAAAAGTCGACTTTTAGACTTTTCGACTTTTAGTATTTTATAAATGGTCGACTCCTCGACTTTTCGACTTTTTCCGACTTTTTTCGACTTTTCGACTTTTTCCGATTTTTTTCGACTTTTCGACTTTTCGACTTTTTTCGACTTTTCGACTTTTTTCGACTTTTCGACTTTTCGACTTTTTTTGACTTTTTCCGACTTTTTTCAACTTTTTCCGACTTTTCGATTTTTTACGACTTTTTGACTATTTTCGACTTATTTCGACTTTTTTTCGACTTTTTTCGACTATTTTTTACTTTTTTCGAGTTTTTCCGACTATTTTAGAGTTTTTGACCTCTTTTCCACTTTTTTAAAATTTTCGACTTTTTCCGACTTTTCGACTTTTTCCGAATTTTCGACTTTTTTCGACTTTTTCGACTTTTTTCGACTTATCGACTTTTTTCGACTTTTCGACTTTTTTCGACTTTTTTCGACTTTTATTTACAAAGTCGACTTTTCGACTTTTTTCATAGACGATAGTCGAGTTATCGACTTTTTTGGAACAAAATAGTCGACTTCGACTTTTCGACTTTTTTCGACAAAAAGTCGATTGTTCGATTATTCGAAAGTCGATTTATAGAACCCTAGGTAGAAGTACACAACACGCGTTGAGGCGGCAACGAGTTTCAATGTTTTTTAAGACTATCAGCTGCTCACGCGTCAAAAGTTGCTGAACTTTTCGCGGCAAACGCGTTAAAACTACAGTGTGTAACTTGTCAAATTAAAATACACTGTTTTAACTTTTTTTGACAAAAGCCTATAACGCCGACTACAACGAATGTTGTGTATTTCCACCTTTAAAGCTGGAGGTTTATTAAAATTGATAAATACACATTAAAAATAAGATATAAATTGGCAAAATCAGCAGACTTTAAGCATCCTACGCTTTTGTGCTTGTAACTTGTAGCACACAACAACATTTATTCTACTTTGACAGCCGCGTAGAATGCGAAGAAGCGTAGGACGCGTGGTGTGGACCTCCAGCTCAAGCACAGGGTATACAGAGGCGTCACGAGCAAAAAACTATTTCCCTCTCTTTCGCACAAAACGAATTCAATAATTTTTTTTAGCTGTATTTTATATATCTCTTCTCACCAAACAATTTCAAAATCAAACAAAAGCTGATTTTAGACTTTTTTAAATGTCAAAAGTGACACCTCTGTATACTTTGTGGCTCAAGGCTTTAAAGACTTTTAAAATCAAAATGTTAAAAAAAAAGTTCATTAAAAAAACGCCACAATTGAAAAAAAAGACAATCTTAATTCTTATAAAAAATCGCTAGATTCTCGTAAAAAAACTGCTTAAATAGCATTACTATTCATCGACACGAAAAAGCCAATATGGCGGGTGCGTAAGAATATTTATTTTCTAGAATTCAGCTAAATTAACGCATAGTTTTAAGAAATTTAGTAAATATTATTTTATAATAATGACTACAATTGCAGATTTATTTACAAAATATAATTGTACAAACTGCCAGGATGATATACAGGGCATTCGTGTTCATTGTGCAGAATGTGAAAATTTCGATTTGTGTCTACAAGTAAGTAAAAAACGTCATTTTATTGGTTTTTTTTTTGCTGCCACTGGAAAGAAAAAAAATGGGATTTATTTCTCAAAGAGAGAGAGAGTGCTACTGTGCACAACTGAAAATTCGTATTTTTTTTATATGTGCTGCACTCACAGAATTTACGAAGCAATTTGAATGTATTTGTGTGTCGTGAACGAAAGTGTTGTTTTTGACATTTGTTTTGCAAAGATATTTTGTTTATAATTTTTTGTTTGTTTTTATTGTATTTTGTTTATGTGTAGTGCTTTGCCGCTGGTGCTGAAATAGGTGCTCATCAAAATAATCATGCTTATCAATTTATGGACACTGGTACTGCTATTTTATCGGTATTTCGTGGCAAGGGTGCTTGGACGGCAAGAGAAGAAATACGTTTACTAGATGCTATAGAGCAATATGGCTATGGTAATTGGGAGGATGTTAGCAAGCACATTGAAACAAAATCTGCTGAAGACGCCAAAGAGGAATATGTCAACAAATTTGTTAATGGCACTATCGGACGCCACACCTGGACACCAGCTCAAGCACAAAGACCCACTTTAATCGATCATACCTCCGAAGATAATGGACCTTTGGGCGCAACGGCTATGCAGCGTCTACCACCTTTAGACATAACTGCAGAAGAGGCTGCCCAGCTTGGTTATATGCCAAATCGTGACAGCTTCGAACGCGAATATGACTTTACAGCAGAACAATTAATATCGAAAATGTCCCTCAATACCGATGATACTGAGGCAGATTATTTACTTAAATTGGCTCATGTTGATCTCTACACTAGACGTCTAAGAGAACGAGTTCGTCGTAAACGCCTAGTGCGAGATTATCAGTTAGTGGCAAATTTCTTTCGTAACCGTAATTATGCTCAGCATCCTGGACTATCCCGCGAACAAAAAGATTTTCGTGATCGCTTTCGTGTATTTGCCCAATTCTATACGGCCAATGAGTATGAACGTTTGCTAAACTCTTTGGAACGGGAAAAGGAATTGCGTATACGTTTGTCAGAGTTGTGTCGTTATCGCTACAATGGCTTGACAAAAATTGATGAATGTCGACATTTTGAACAACATGCTGCTATGGCGACAAATCGTTCGACTGGTCCATATGGGCATGGAAAGACTGTAAGTTTTTATTTTCATTTTATTAATTAATTAAAAAAAAAAATAAAACAAATATTCATCGGGAATCTTATATACAGTGCCGGTATAAATAATAGAAACAAGCTTATCAAATTACTTTGAGCGATTTTTTTGGAAAGGTGGAATTTTATCAACAGTAATTTAATTGCCTATTTCTTTAAATCTTTTTGATTTTGTACTCCGGTTTAAGTAATTAAGGTCCCATTTACACATTGAAAAAATAATAGAAACGTGTCTTTATAATGTTCTGGGGACATTGCTTAAAGTTTTAATTCTTTATGCTATTCAGAAAATTAAAATAGTCTAAAAAGGGTATTTTATCAAAGATATTTTGGGTATATAAAACCTAACACCTAAATCGGAGGTTTCACTCTAAAAATGTTTTTGATAACATGAACAAATAATTAATGAAATTCACAAAAAATTTATAAATATTATTAAATTACATATATTATTGCATATTATAAATATTATTGAATTTTAATTTAAAAAGCGAATTTTATCAATTTATTTGTACATATAAATTAATTTTAAGTACATATATTTATTACAACTGTTAATACACGAAGGCTTTTGAATATCCATGTGGTAATTAAAAATTAGTACATTTCTTGTAAATACTTAATAATCATTTAAAAAAATAATCACCTCTTTTGTTATTAAAATTACTTGTTCCTTAAATTTCCCAAGCAAAAAAAAAACTAATTTTTTATTTACCTTTTTATGGCGATATTCAGCTTCCGTGTATTATCAGCACACCAAATGGCGAAAATTTAAATGGATGTATAAGACAATGTTTTACTACAGGACAATATGCATCACAACACTGGAAATCATCGGCAGCCAGATTATTCCTTGCACTCCCCGCAGCACAACAACCGAAAACTGTAAGTATTTGTTTATGAAATTAAATTAATTCTTTATTAATATACAAAAAATATAGCGAAATGTCAAACGGAAACGAAAATTCAAATTCCATCGCACCAAACAACATGCACCACACCGGCGACCAGATCTCTTACGTCGGATCATCGCTCAACAGAAATTACTTGGATAGCTATCGGGGATCACCGGCACATACGACGATGACGACGACGATGGTAACGGCGATCAATTCAACCACAACACCAGCTGCCGGTCTATTAACAACCCAACCAACAACAACGATGATGAAAACACAAACGAATGCCAATCAGAATCAACAACTCCACCTCCAGCAATTGCTAACCGCATCAACGAAGAATGCGCCACAGTTGCAGATAAACGATATCGTGCTAACAAATCAAAACGTGGAAAGGCTGCCACTAATTCAGGAAAACATCAACAGCAATCCAACAACACAAATGAATTCAAACGGCCAAAGAGGACAACAGTCAACAGCATCGCCAGCTATGCCGATGAGTAATATTTTACGTTCACAACTGGATGAATTGAAACATTTAACTCAACCGTTAGGCATGAATCTTTTATCGAGCAATGAACAACAGTTATGTAAAGTATTTAATTTGCCACCCACAACGTATATTTCGCTTAAAACGCTATTTTTAAGTGGCGCTCCAGTTGCTACTAACAATCTGTCGCCCGTTGAGAGTTCATTGCGTAAGTATTTCATTAAAGTCGGTTGGCTGAGCCATTAGATTGTAATTTTTTTTTTTTAATATAACAAAATGCATAAAATTGATAAAAAAAAGACAACAAATTAATATATATTTTAATAATTATGTATAACATGTTTCTGTTACATAAGATCTTTATTTACATTTATAATTTTCATTATTTTTTTTTTTTTTTATTTACTCATTATTTATTAAAAAATTTGCTCAAAATCTATTTTATATTGAAATTCATGCCATTTTTTCCATAATAACATCATCAACTTTATTACTCAGTATATATTTACATTTTAGAAAATTCATTGTGTTAAAGTTTAATTCATAGCAAAATTTAATTTTTAAAAGTTCTGCCATTGAATTTGTAAGAGTTTAAACTAAATTATAAATATATTAAAACAATTTTCCAATTACTATTGTTTCGAAGTATCAATTATTATTTGTTTAACGTATTGTATTACTTGTATCAAGTCATACTTTTATATATATTCCTAAAATTCTGCTTATAAAATTTAGTCGCAATGCAAAAGTAACTTTGTTTTTTAAATTATGATTTCGCGTGGAAAATTCTACTATACATATATGTAAATACATATGTATGTAGTTTTCCTAATAAAATAAAAATTAAACCAGGAATTTGTGTAAATAAATGTATAAAATATAAAACTATAATTTGTTTCAAATTCTATTATTGTATTTGTTAAGACTACACAAGCGGCTTGACAAACATACCAATATTTTACGTTTGTGCAAGCCTGTTGTGTAGTGTATGAGGGTGTTTCGTGTTTGTACAAATGCTTGCTGTTTGTACAAAAATGAAAAAATTTTGATTTTTACACAAATATATTGAATTTTTGTCAAACCATTTGTATGGTTTATATTCAATAATAAAAAATTTTTCAAAAAATTTACATTTCTAAGAAAAATTGACATCTGTATCTTTGAAAGTCCACAAAAACGTGAAAAAATCGGTGTTTGTGCGAGCAATGTTTGTGTAATGTGTGTGCGAATGAAAAAAGTATGTTTGATAAGCCGCTTGTGTAGTCTATTAGGGCCTTTAGCATTTAAAAAGCAGGACAAATTCCGGAACAATTCAAAAAAAATAGTAAAATTATATACGTGTTTTGTATAAAAATTCGACTTAATTCTGTGGCAAAACAGAAAAAGTACATACTTATCTTAATCTCTACATTCAACTCAATGTTGCGTAAATTTTTTATAAAATTCGGATTAGATTTTTTAATAAGTAAGAGAACATTAAATAAGCAATCTTATATACCCTTCACCATAGTGTATTTAAAAAAATATTAAAATATTCTATAACCTATCCTATAGGCCATAAACGGTTCTACTTAATAATAATTTAATTTAAACAATTCGATAATAACAAATGTGTGTAGATAATAAACTATCTTATTAACAGATAAAACAATATTAAATAAAATCCTACATTAATTTCAATCTAACAAATGTAAATTGAATTGACTCACAAAAGCCATCAACTTGTCATGCAGTTAGCTATGAGATAAATAAAACTCCAGACCATAAAGGGCACAGAATAGTTGAGAATAAATTGTTTCCATGCTCAATCACAGTCGTTAACTGTGACAAATATTGTGTATAATAAATAACCAACAAAAAATATTATAGGTTATTTTCATCCGTTAACAATCTGTTGGACAATATTTTTATAGATTGTTTCGAAATTTTTATCGATTTTGAATTTATTAAAGATTTGGATCCCGAGGACATCCGTTGAAAATTAATTTCAACAGACAGGTGAACATAATAACATTATCGATTCCGCTATTTAAATGATCTCGATAAATATTCTTTATTGGTTCGGAAAATTATATTGTGGAAATTAGAATTAAGATTTTTTTTTTATATATGAAACATTAATAAGAAAAATACATTTGTTAAATATTTTTTGTATATTTGTAATTTTATTGGTAAAAACATTTTTAAAACACTACATTAGTAAAAATAATAATTGTTACTCAAAAATAAACCTTATTACTTAACTTTCACATTAATGACAGTGATGGATGATCGGTCGTATTAACCACAACAGATTTTCATTATTCAGATCAAATATCAGTTAAAAAGCTTATAAAATTATAGTAATAAAAAAAGTAAAATAAAAAAACAATTCATGTGAAAAACTGTATTAAATAAAAACAATAACAAAATCTCATTTATAAAACTGTTTTCGAATTAATTAGAAAGAGTAGATTCAATTATTTGAAATACGAAAACGACAGCCAGTTTTAAATCATTTGTTTCGCAAAAAATATCTATAAAGGGTATTTTTTTGAGCGCCATTCGTGTTGACACCATTACCACCGGCCTTGGCTGCCGTATTTGCTTTAGGTTGTGTTTGAGTTGTTGGCGGGGTTCCACTACTTTGAGTTGAGTTAATTGGAGACATATTTCCATTGGCTACAGCAGCTGCTGCTGCAGCCAAGGAAGAACGCCATGATGCTATCAGTTCATTTTGTACATCTACCGGTAATTCATTGAAAACCAGAGGGTCAACCCCAGCCGGACAGGGAATGTTCGAAAGATTACCAGTGATGGTTGTTGATAATTTCTCTTCATCGACCTTTTCCAACTGTGAAGATGATAAAGCAACTGACAATGTTTGTGAGTCAACGAAATCGTCCATAGGAGATGCCAATGGAGAAACTGTGGTTGATGAAGATGCTAAAGAATGTCTACGGGCAAAAATTAAAGCATTTGCACGAAAATCCTCTAAACGGTCAATACGACTTAAAAGAGTTGAAGGTGGAGATTGCACCGGACAAAATCGTTGCATATTATTGCAAACACTGGCAGTAGTAGTTGAGTGCGATGTTGAAGGTGTGTTGGTTAGGCTAGTCGCTGTGCTTGTCGTTAACGAGGATAATGATGAAGCTATGGTTGATGTCGCTGTCGCTGAGATTGGGCTCATGGGAAAATCTCGATCACTGTCCCTTGAATTTAAGCGTAAATCACAAACGCGTAATTTACTCGGAGAAGCAACTTCAGCAGCTGTATCTCCAGTGGAATTGTAAATGGCTGAACTACCAAAACAACGTCGTTTATTCATAATCAAACGGCTAATTCGACTCTTTTTGGGTGAAGGCTCTACTTCAGTTTCCGAAAAGTCGGAAAAGTCTGAATTAGTAGCTCCCGACTCTGAACCATTGTCGATTAACATTGGAATGGGAGAAGCAGCAGTGGTTCGTCGACGATAAAATTGGTCACTCGGTTGAAAAGTTGTAGGCGATGAACGAAATGCTTCATCATTACTGGGCATGGGCGAAGTCGAGTTTGTTGACGGTGATGAACCATCCGAATTGGCCTCCACCACATCTGTGTTTGTAAGAGATGTTATGGATTGAACCTCTAAATCCGTTTTCTTGATAAGGAAATTTGCTATGGACGATGATCCAACTTTTCGTTGTTGAAACTTTGAAAATGCTAAACCTATTAGAGTGATGTTGAAAGGTTTATTCATATCCACGACACGTTCGAATAAACGCATAATGATTTTTAAAAGCTTTTCTTGAGCACCCTCTGCTAACATGACTTTAGGTCCGCCGGTGTCTGTACAAGAAGTTGATTTGAAAAGAGACGGAAGTATATTTGCTTGCTTAGTTTCCCGATGACTACTCTTCTTTTGGGCATCAAATTTACGCAAAATTACTTTCAAACAAATTGGTATTCGACCATCTTCAGCGACCTGAAAATGAAAATAATCAATAAAAATTATATTACCAAGATTTATTTGGTTGCTTTATAAACTCACCTGTTCCATTAATCTCATCAACAACATACGAAAGCGTTCTTCAACATCAGTTCGTACAGATATAGGTCTACAAGAATCCTCTAAACCAATACTTTTTGGTTTACCAGTTGGACGTACTCCACTTGTGTCTCGGCCAAAGGCCAGATCTTTTAATTTGACTGCAGTTTCATAACCAAATTTTTTACGTAAAAAATCTAATTCGCATCTTTGCAGTTCTTCAACATTTGCCACTCCACTTTCGAGTAGAAGAGATTCGGTTTTTTGTCCAATGCCGGTTATACGATTTAATTCGCCCAATTCACGCATAAATTGTTCGGCATGTGATGAGACAAGAACTGTTTGCTGATTCGGTTTGTATTGAGAGCCAACCAATTTCGCCAAAAGTTTGTTATACGATACTCCAGCACAACAGGTAACTCCTAATTTGTCCAGAAGTTCCTGTCGTATTTCTTGAGCGATTTGCGTGCCTAGCGCTAAACGTTGAGCGCATCCACAACTGCATGCATTTAATGTGGCTCCATCTGATGGATATATGTGACCTATGACTGGTGGTAAATCTATGTCGTCGCTGTCTTGATCCTGTTGTTGTTGATGTTGCTTTTGTTGTTCGCGCTTTTCGACTAGCGATGAAACGTCCATAAAATTCTCATCGAAACCTAATTTTTCCACAAAGGGTGTAAAATTAAGCAGCAATTCAAATATTTTTTGTGACATCTGGCGGTATGGCGTTAAATCTTCCCCATTGACCAGCACCAGTTCGGGACATAGACGTTTTGCTTCGGCGACTAACATTAGCTTTCTTATGCCACGAGCTCGTGCATTATAGTTGCATGTGACAACAATATTTTTTTGCTGAACTCCCAACGGTTTTGTGCGCAACGAAGGATCACGTAATTCTTCTACTTGAGCATAAAAATAATCCATATCCAGATGTATGATAGTACGTTGGTGTGGCTCATTCTTACTGAGCATGTTTGAGAAATCCATGGCGGTCGTCAAATGGCGACTAAAAGTAGAAATATTTTTATTCAAACTATAAGGGATAATATATAGCTGTAATAAGTATTTTTCCCATATATGTACATTGTACTATCTTTGTAATAGAATCAGATCATTTACAAAACCTCAGATACGGTGTGCTCTATTTGAAAATTTCTGAACGTACCTACGGTAAAATTATGTCCTTTCAATGCATTCTTAAAATTGGACAAAATTTTTGTCGCAAAACACAGATTCAATTACATTTTTTTCAAAATTCCTCACTGTGCGCTGTGTAAACAAATAAACATACGTCATCGAATAAGTTAATTTAAAAAAATTAACGTACAAAGTGCACATTCTTGCATTGTATAAATCTGACTAATAATGTCAACATTTTTTTCACATTTGTACATACATACAATGTACTTTCTAAATGTAATCAAGGCATTCAGACACAGACATAAAAGCGCTAATTGCCGGTATTTAGAATGATAAATAGGTGGTGGGTGGTGTTTAAGGGTTAACAAAGTAAAAAAGCTAGGGAATCACCAGCAACAGTATTTAACTCACTTCAATGATGTTTTTCGTGCGTACGTGACAATAAGCTGTTCCATAAAATATATGAAAATTCTCATATAATACACCTAGTAAAGAGAATGTAATCAACAACTCTATAGCCAATATAAACTATACAAATGAATGCAATTTTTTTTTGCAAGCACAGAGAAATCGCGCCATTTTTGCAAAAACACTATAACCTTTTAAGAGTTATTTTTCTTTGTAATAACACCATTATGAAAAATTTAATTGCGTTAAGCGAATAATATACATACATATATGCATAACCCATCAAAATTAGAAGAGATAAGTTAAAAGTGAACGACAAAAGAATATTGCAGATGACGTATTTACTAGGTTTGTTTTCACTTTTGTTTTTATATCAAATTTATTGCGACTTATTAGTTGTCTCGCATTTCACTTCATTTTTTATTTTATTCATTTTACTTTAATTGGCGTATCCGAAAAACAAAGACGACCTTATTTGTGTAAATAAAGCAGATCGTCCACTACTTTTTCCTAATTTGTAGCACATTTTGCTCAGTTTATGTTTTTATAATTAATATTAAAGTTTTTATAAATTTTAATGCTTACATATTATGTTTTTAATAAAATTAATTGTTTTTCTAAATTTTTTGGGAAGATTTCACAACAAAAAGAAAATTAATAACTTTCTACAGAGTTGCATTTTTGTATGGTTGCATCATTTGCCCTATATATAGGGTTGTAATAAAAAGCATTAACACTAACTAATAATGTTGCCAGATAAAAATAGTTTAAACAAATAATTATATATGATTTTATGAGACTAATTTGTAAAAATGTTCAGTCTTATTATATACTTGCCAAAATTAATATTTTCTATATTTTGTATAGATAATTTAACACAAATCTAAGTTTTTCCAAGACAAAAAAAAACTAAATAAAGGATCCGGTTACACCGTCCTCATTTTCAAACGATTTGACATTAATGCTATGCCAAACACTTCCTAAATTCGAAAAATATGCATCAGACTCCAGCGCCAGTTCTGCTTAAAGTATAGTCGCCGAAAATTTGTGTACTACATTCAATGCAGTTATTTTTTCAATGTGTTTTTGAAAACAGAATAATAAATACTATGTTCCTTATTTATGTTTTTGACGAGTTTTTGGAAAAACACAATGAGTTTAAACACAACTCTTCACATATTAAAATTTTTATGAAAATATATTCAATACAAGGTGAAGTATTTTACAAAATATTATAAATAAATATCTTATATTGAATATTTTTTACATTATTAAATTATTTGTTCATACTTTATAAACGCAGCGATTGGGCATCACGTTTTTTACGTTGCGTTGCTGTCAGTCGCAGTTCGTCGTAATGTATTGTATGTGTTTGGACTTTAAAGCGCGAAAATTTTGAAAAGCGTAAAACGCGCTGCCGCCTTCCTTTAAAAGGATTTCGAAAATATTATTCATAAACTTTTTTTATGTGTTTGAGATTCATTCAAAAATATCAAGTTCAAGTTGCTTTTTTATATTAAGTTGTATTAAATCCCCATTTTATATATGACACTTTAAAAATACCAATTATCAAAATACTTTTTTTTTCTTTTAATTTTCGTTGAGAAATTTAAAAACACAGCTGAAAATTTATTTTAAGTCGTCGCCGATATTTTTAGCTTCAGTTGTTGCCGCCGTTAATATTTGTCGGCGCAGATCTCTGATCTGCATTCGAAAAAGAAGCGTCCTCCATTATTATTTGAAATTGAACGCTGATAACTGATTTCGTGCGAATAATTCAACTACTTAAATTCTTAAGAAAATAAAACAAATTTTATGCGCGGTTTTATTTCTGTTTTGTGAAATTATCCATAAAAATATTGTAATTTAGTACGGTGAAATTTAAAGGAGTATCATAAAAATAAAATAACAATTTTCGCAGGAGGCGCGTAAATTGCCCCAAAATATTGAAAAAAAATTGTGCAAATACTTTGAATTATAAGATCAATAAAATATGGAATCAAGATTGCCAAAACCCTCGGCCTTAAAACGGCCAATGCCAATAACGAGAACCATATTACCGATTGATAGAATAAAATCAGCGGGATTTGGTAGTAAAAGTTCGCAATTATTAAGCAATAGCACAGCATCCTTGTATACATCGCAACCTTTAACAACAAATTTGGCAAACATGCAAAGCGTTAACAATCCAAGAGGTAATTATAAATAGTAATTAAATCGCCTATAAATATATGTAGTAACTAACCAGCTGCTATCATTATTCTGTATACATTTCCTAAATGAAAAGATGCCAGGCAGCTAGTTAGTTAACAAAAAAATGCATTAATTCATCAAATATTTCATCTTTATCACAATTAGAACGTGCTGCCTCTCCTGAAGCTGCAAGAACAAATACTCATGCACGAGCAAAACTAAGAAGAAGTCGTTCGGCGTGCGATATACGAGATATGAGGCCAATTAAACGTATGGATTCAACTTTAGCACCAATTCCAGCTAAAACATCCAGACTAATGTCCACAACTGTTGCTAATTCAAATCGGCCGCAACGTATAGCAACAAATAGCAACAATAACACAATTGCTGGAACCTATACAAATAACACTGTCAAGCGTCATACCAGTAGACCAGCAACCACTGCACAAACTACAACTGGCACCAAAAAAACAGCTACTGATTCTGGAAGTTCGGCGACAGCTGTTTCAACAACGGGTGCTGGAAAACCCATCAATAAAAGGATACCGCCGTATGATTTTAAAGCCCGTTACAATGATTTACTCGAAAAACACAAGATATTGAAGGAGAAATTTGAAGAAAAATGCCAACAATTCGGAACTTTGGAGAGTTTGCCCGAGCAATTGGAAGAAACACAAAGTCAACTTATTATCACCCAAGACGAATTAAGAAACACCCAAACAATCAAGGGATGTCTAGAAGAGCAAGTAAAAATGCAGACAAAAAAAATTGAATCCATTGAAGGAAGTCTAAGTAAAACACAAGAAGAACTGGATAAATTGTTAAAGGTTTATAATGTGAGTACAGTTTTATTTTTATTGAATTAAAATATTTTCCGATTGATATGTATTTTATCAATAATGGGTACACAATTTTGAAAGATTTATTAAACAAAATGCAGGAAGGTTGTAATTTATATTTGAAAAAAGTTCTCAAGTTTTTGACCTGAATTTAAAGATTATAATATACATACATAGATAATGGAATATTTTGGTTAATGTCTACAAAACAGCTATGCATTCTTTAGGAGATAGGTATTTAAATTTGAAATTTTTTTATCGATTAATTTTAAGATAAACAAAAAACAACAAAATGAACCTCTTTATTTTGACGTCACACACTATATCTCATTCAGTTCGTTGATCTTCACAAAAAAAGTCCATAAAGATAATAAGAAACACAACATTCCCGCAGCAAAAAAGTTTAAATTTTTTAATAATTTTGTTTCGATCTGGTTTTAAATAGATAAATTCTTAAAAGCATAAAAAACTGATTTTAATAGACATTTGGTGCACACATTTTTTAACAATCGTGAAAAAATACCGAATTTTTTCATGTTTTTAAATACATACTCTATTCGACTATGTCAATAGTTATATGCCACACAAATGAATCAAAAGGACCCACGTCATTCGCAGTCTGCTAAATCAAACCATAGGCCTATTGCTCATACAGTCTGTATATTAAATTCGACTTAGTCGAATATAACACTCTCGTAAAAATATGTGAAGGAACAATTTATCGCAAAAGTTATACGTCAGAACAAAATACTAAAAAATTCGCAGAAAATCTTAATTTATAGGAACACAAGTGATTAGTTATACATATTCGGAGAAGAAAATAAAATATAGAGAAAATAGATACAGTAGAAAAGAAAATCATGCTCTCCTTGTAATGAGCTCTTTTAAATTAATTTTCAGAAATTAAAACTAGAACATGCTGAAATAACTACCGAAGTGCTTGAATTACGTGAACGTTCAACTGATCTGGCTGAGAAAAATGAAGGACTTTTGCAAGAAATTGAGATTTGCAAAGAACAACTATTTCGTTCAAATATGGAACGTAAAGAACTGCATAATACTGTTATGGATTTGCGTGGTAATATTCGAGTATTCTGTAGAGTACGTCCACCATTGGAATGCGAACTTGACAAACAATTGTGTGGTTGGAATTATCTAGACGAAGCTACAGTAGAAATTGTCAATTATGATAAAAATAAAACTAATGCACATACGTTTAGTTTCGACCAAGTATTCCATCCGGTCTCTGCCCAGGAATCCATTTTCGAAATGGTCTCTCCTCTAATACAGTCCGCTTTGGACGGCTATAATATCTGTATTTTTGCCTATGGCCAAACAGGCAGCGGTAAGACATATACTATGGATGGTATATCTAGCAATCCGGGAGTTATACCGCGAACAGTGGATCTGCTATTTGATTCAATTAAAAACTATCGCCATTTAGGTTGGGAATACGAAATTAAAGTAACATTTTTGGAAATTTACAATGAAGTTTTATACGATCTGTTGAGCAACGAACAGAAGGAAATGGAAATTCGCATGGTTAAAAATAGTAAAAACGATATTTACGTTTCAAACATAACACAAGAGACAGTAGAGTCCGCAACGCGTTTGCGTCAACTGATGAATATTGCAAAAATGAATCGTGCCACTGCTGCCACAGTGGGCAATGAACGATCATCACGTTCTCATGCTGTGACTAAGATTGAACTGATTGGTACTCATGCTGAAAAACAAGAAATTTCGATTGGCTCCATTAATCTGGTAGATTTGGCTGGTTCTGAGTCGCCCAAAACAAGTACTCGCATGAATGAAACTAAAAATATTAACAGATCATTGTCGGAACTGACAAATGTTATATTGGCCCTATTACAAAAACAGGATCATATACCATATCGCAATTCGAAATTGACCCATCTTCTAATGCCATCGTTGGGGGGCAATTCTAAAACACTTATGTTTATAAATGTAGCTCCGTTCCAGGATTGTTTTGTAGAGTCTTTGAAATCGTTACGTTTTGCTGCCACTGTTAATCAATGTAAAATGGCCAAAGCAAAACGTAATCGTATTTTAAATAATTCTGCCCTTGGAAATAGTAGTACGATTAGTAATTAGTTTTATGTGTGTATTATTTGTTAATTGTTTTCTTATTTTTCTTTTTAAATAAATAAAATTCCTTAATTAAAAAGGATAAATATATTTATATTAGAATACCATAATATTCCTTTAATTTCAATCGATATCCAGTGTATGTATATTTATTTATATTTTAATTAATTTATGTTTGATTTATTTTTATGTTCGAAAATTTCTTTTTTTTTGGCAATTTTTTAAATCTATTTTTCTTTTAATAAAATTCTTAAATTTAAAGAAAACCTTTTTGTTTATTTGTAATTAAAACTAATACTAAATGTGAAATTTGTCAAACCGTTTGTAAATTTTTCGTTTGTGGCCCCATACTACAATGAATATCCATAATACATATATGTAGGTCTTGTTAGGGTGCTGATGAAAATAAATATATTTATGTATACTTTTACTATCGTTTAAAATTTTTTAAATTAAAATAATGGTCATAAAACAAATTAAAATCTAAGTACATATTCATGATGTAATAAGTGCATCCTGGTACCTATTCATTTACCGCATCAGCCATTTTTATGATGATGATAAATGATTTATGCATATATAGCTCAACTCAACTAATGAAAGAACCATGAGCGAATAACAGAGTGAACCATGTTCAGCGTTGCCACTGACCAAGTTTTGATCCTACCAAATTTTTGTCAAAATACTACCAAAATCGTTTAAAACCTACCAAATTTCGAAAATCATATAAAACTATTTTTTGAGAAAAGTATGACTTATTTATTAATGTATTTTGTCGCCTATGTATACACGGTTATTAGATCTAACAATATCGGCAGTCTATTGTCCATCTCAATTTACAATTTTTAGCATTTTCTGTACATTTTTCAGTCATCTTTGTAAGATCTGACAACCATGTATCACAGCTTTAACAACACTTTTCAAAGTTTATGATACATTTATTTCTTGAGATTCTTTTTTAATGTATGTAGGGAAACGTCCTTGAAGATATGAATTTTGTAAAACCCAAACGACTTAGCAACAAGAAAGTTTAATATCTTGTACCTAATTTCATGGATTAAAATTATTCGATTAAATTTGCTATATAATATAATGGTTAAAATCGATCCAATACGAATCGGAAATTCCTGAAAAATAATTTTAATGTTAAAATAAAATTAAGTTAAAATAAAAATACGTTGGTTATATAGCAATTGTAAACAAATTTACACCAGTTTGAAGTACCCATAATCATATAATATTAATATGGACCTGTTTTTGACAATAGAGTTCTACAAATTTGCGACAATGTGCATTTTGATGCATTGGATCCAGTGTTACCATATGTCAAGTTTTCCCTTTTTTTGCAAGTTTTTTGAGATTTAAAAAAGTTTTCAAGTTTTATTCCAATAAAAAAAGTTTTTTGAAAATGTATACAGTTTTTCAGTTTTTATTTTATTTAATCAATAAATAAGTTTAAAATAAAAAAAAACAAACATTAACAAAATAATATTTTATACCATTAATATTCGAGATATTCCTAGAAACTGAAAAAAATTGACCGGTGTTGATGACCTTAATCCCTTAGAATACACGTTAAGGACACAATGCACTTCGACCATATTGTAGAGATTTTGTGCAGCCCATTGGTTCACCATACTAGGCCAAATTCGCGCATGAAGATAAATGGATTAATCAGTGAGTGTTTGAAGATATCATCTGGGTCTGGGTAAGACAAAATCTTCGTGTTTCGAGTTCCCAATGACGGGTAGTTACAAAAGTTCAGAGGTTTCCTCTTGTAGTACACAGAATCTACATAGATTCATCATGACATTTCAAGTGTAAATTTATGGTGTCTAAGACCACAATATCCAGTAATTCCTTGCTACTGATTTTAAGGAAAAGTTCTGTACCAATTATCATTAAGCTATTTAAAATTCCTCAATTTGCTAATTTTTTTTGGGTATTTTGTAATTTTAGTACAAAAAAAAGTTTTTTTTTTTTTTTTTTTTTTTTTTTTTTTTTCATTTTACTTATTATTTATTGAATCTTTCTTACATAGAAATTTACAATAAGTATTGAAATCTTAACCTAAACTATAACTAACGTCGTTATTGCCACTGCAATTTCAACAAAAGTTCTCGATAATTTGATTATCTGGCAAAATCCAATGTTTCCGTTCTTCTCAGTCGTCTATGACCCTCAAATGACAGCAACTCCCTGGCAAGGGGATTTGGGTGATCCATTAGTTTCGACAGGTAGGTTAAACAAGAGAGTTTGATCTCCTCGCGTATTATGGGGACATTGAGATCCCTATGAATATTACTATTGCGAATGTACCACGGGGCACCTGTTATTGACCTTAACAGTGCTGACTGCTTTCTTTGTAATTTTTCAACATTAGATGAGGAGGCTGTTCCCCACAGTTGAATGCCGTATAGCCATATCGGTTTTATAACTGTTTTGTACAAAAGCACTTTGTACTCCAAGTCTAGAGCAGACCGTGGTCCAATTAGCCAGTACAATTGAGCTGACTTTAATTTTATTTGTGTTTTTTTTTGTTGAAAAAAAGTTTTTTTTTATAAAAATAAAAAGTTTTCTTCAAAAAATATATGGCAACACTGATTGGATCTAACTTCGACGAATGCCTGGCAGAGGCAAAGAAAGTGCTCTAGAGTTTCACTGTCCTCTGCACATGCTCTACATTCGTCTGAATCCGCACGTCCAATTTTGCATAGATGTGCTCGTAATCCTGTGTGTCTACTCAAAATACGTACCATCATACTAACTTCAGACTTGCTCATTTTGAGGAGATTTTTCGTCTTGCTCTCATCAGGGTCACCCCATAGGATCTTCGTGGTTCTACCCACTGTTTCATTATTCCAAGAGGCCTTATGGGATTCTCTCACCCACATTTTTAGTTCAGCTTTTGTTGCGTCGAATGGTTTCGCGTTTGTCAGGTTAACTACCTCGAGCTCCCTACCCTTTAAAGGAATTACATTCGCCCGAGTGGGCTGGTACACATATGATGTGAACCTTACCTCTGGAAGAGTATTCAGTTAAAGCTTTCTTACAATCCAATACGGTCTTAGATTTAGTTCTATCGCCTGATATCGCCCTAATTGCCTTCTGGCTATCGGTAAATATATTAAGCGCTGTGGGCGCCATATTTATTCTAATCCAATTTACGCATTCCGTTATTACTCGTACCTCTGCCTGGAAGCTTGTGTTATGATTTGGTAAACGGTGGTATATTTCTGTTTCTGGGTCTTCAATATAGAACCCAGCACCACTTTGTCCCCCAATTTAGAGCCATCCATGTAACAACGGATTCTTACTGCTCTAATGTTCCGCTTGACCAAGACATTCTACCTGGGATCAGCGTTTCAAAGTTTCCGACATATTCTGTGTCTGGTATACGATCAGGCACGTCCGATGATTGTGTATAACCTTCCAATGTGTCCAGTATACATTGATGACGTGCCCTATAACCGCTTTTGGCCAGTTCGGCTAAAGTAAAGAGCCGTTCAGCTGTAAATTTCAGATAAAATTATACAAATTACGATGAAATTTGTGATAAAATTAACATATTAATGGCTGTAGAAAAATCTGTAGTTTTCAATCCGTAAATTCTAGTTATTCCGAACTCCATTTAATGAATCAAAAATATATTTAATAAAATTTTGATATACAAAAATTTTAATATTTTAATACAGTAAATAAATGTATAATTAAATTGTTAAAATTCTTTAAAAGTATGTATTTTGTCAAACCTGCCAAAAATCGATTTAAATTTGGTAGGAAAAGCCCAAACAACGAAGTAAAAGAGAGAAGTTTTACATCCCCGATTTAGTATGATTTTCATGATACTCATTTAGATATATTCAACAATGCAATAATACGCTCTAATTTAACGCTCGCATGATCAGAATAATAGGTAATACACAGAGAGGGAGTTGGTCAGAACATGAATGTTTCGACGGAACATGTTGACGAAATCTAAGAAATTTTGATGAGCTAGTACTTGCACAGAGTACACAGAGACTCTAACGTAAACAAAAAATACACATTTTGTTTAAGAAAAATATTAGGTATTATAAATGATTCTATTGACTTATCTTGTCGACTCATCGCAAGATAATATAAGAAAAATAAATTGATAATACTAATTCATTGTTATTCAACATTTATTATCTAAAAAGCTAAAAGCTTTTTGAATAGCAATTACATAACACTAATCCTTGACATAAACATACAGTACATAACAGGAAAGTATGTATAGGGTCTTAACTATTTACTGCGCATAGCCTCTAGGACTGTTGCTGGTAATTTAGCAATAATTTCACTATGAGACACTTTTCCAATTGTAGCTAAAACACCTCTCTTATTGGGATGTTCAACGTCACTCGCATATGAATAGTGTTCCCCAAGCATATCGGTTAAACAACCGCCCTGAGCCTCTAAGACAGCCTCCGGGGCACAAGTATCCCATTTTTTACAACCAGGGCTAGCAAAGACATATGCATGAGCTTTGCCTTCCAACAACTGTAAGACCTTATAGCCTGCTCCTCCAACTTTAATAACATCTGTGGGAACGAGAGCATCTAGGGCGGCTTGAACTATGGCATTGGAATGTGAGCGTGTGGTAGTAATAACAAATTTATCTGCGGGCGCTTCAGTAGGTTCAAATCCACCTGTACCTAGACCCTTTAAGCCCCAAATAGTACGCCCTAATTCACCATTAGGATTTTTATAGTAAGGTTGATGTATTATACCTCCAACAGCAGAGTTTTTAATGGAAATTCCAATTAAAACTGTGACATGGTCTAAGAATCCTTGTGTATACTCAGATGTACCATCGAGGGGATCAACCCATATGACAAAATCATCATCAGTAACATCGCGAAATTGTTCGGGACAGTTAAGCTTAAGTACTTCTTGATCATACTCAGAAACTAACCAGTCATTGCAAACATTTAAATCGGAACCACCTTCTTCTCCAATTATTTTTATTGCTGGAAACTGTTTACTCAGTGAGGCGATAATACAACGTTGTGCCGAGCGATCAGCTTCAGTTTGCAAGTCATCTTTACCCTACAACAATAAATGTTTAACCTTGATCAGATAAGATAGAAGGAAGTGTTGCGGCACTACTAACCTTTTCAACGATGCCCAAATTACCCTTTTGCATGACATCCCTTATAATTGAGCCGGCACGTTTAGCGGTATTAATGGACAAAGCCATTATACGCATCACTAAAGGTTGAGAAGACATATTTATTTTTTGGTTAATTTTTCTTTAGTTTTAAAAATACTAGTAATTCAACTAATTTAATAATGAAAAGTCTTCTTTAACAAAACTCGCAGTTGTGACAATGTTTTTATTACAATATACATATTTACAACAACAGTTATTTTTTGACACTTGCTTTGTGTCCATATTCATTATTATTGTTTTGATTTTTCTGCTTTCTCTACTTACTTTTGTTTAAAGTGTGTTTTTATTAAAAACTACGTTTTCAATGCTAATGTACTATTTGTTTTTTGTTTATAATTTTTGTAAAGAATGGAAATGTAATTTTACATAAATATGTACATATGTATGTATGTATTTATATCCAACGTGTGTTTAACGACATTATTGACATAACTTCCATCTGTCATTCTATGACTGTCATTTCTATGTATATTTGTATGTAAGAAATAAATTAAAAAATACTAGATATTTAGATGTAATATTTCTATATTAACAATTTAGTTTATATATGTAGGTACACATTACATTAAGATAATTGAGGTCGAGTACCTCAAATATATTAAATCCTCAGTTTAGTGGTTTAGATTTGACTAAAATTTAAAAATCAGATGAATATGAAGGCAAGAACATACTTCACCGAACATATTTTTGCAATTTTGTCCCATTAGTTGCCGTAAGTCCTGATTTTATATATTACAAACAAATACATCTTACTGTTTTAATTACATAAGAATTTGAAAATTATAATTTCAAAAAATAAGTAAAAAAAAAAAATCCATAGATTTGAAGCATCTGGACTTCTAGCGTTTTTCTTTCGATATAATCGTCTGGCAATATCTTTGTTGGCAATGCGGAATATTATGATCGATCTTCTTCTTCTACAACCTTTGGACTTGTCAAAATTTTTATTCAACATTTTTTTGTCAGTTTTTCAACACTCTTTGTAGCAGGTTCGTTTTATTTGCGTCGCTCTTTTTTCATTAATTAAGGAATTAATTAAAATAAATTGATATATTGTTGTTGTTGCTTTGTAGGTGCCTTTTAGGAAAGTTACTTGGAAAATGTCTCGCGTTTTGGTTGGTGTTAAGCGTGTGGTTGATTATGCCGTTAAGGTAAGAACATTTTATAGGCCCTTTGCTAGATTCTCATGCTTATGGCGTGGAAAAATTAGCTACTCAGTGTTTTTGTTTCTTATCACATTTTTTGCGTAATCACTGGCGAAGATGTTGTGATGCGCTGCTACCTGTTTTAGCATAAAAATTGATTTGTTTTGGTTATATAGGTACGCGTCAATCCTGAAAAAACTGGCGTTGTTACCCAAGGTGTCAAACACTCGATGAATCCTTTCGATGAAATCGCCGTGGAAGAGGCTGTTAAAATGAAAGAAAAGAAGTTGGCCACTGAAGTAGTTGCTGTTTCAATTGGACCCACTCAATCACAGGAAGTCATTCGTACAGCTTTGGCCATGGGCGCTGATCGTGGCATTCACGTTGAGATTTCCGGTAAGGATTACGATTTGTTGCAACCCATCCACGTTTCCAAAATTCTTGCCAAGTTGGCCTTAGACGAAAAAGCCGATTTGGTTATTTTGGGCAAACAAGCCATTGATGACGATTGCAATCAAACTGCCCAAATGACTGCCGCTGCCCTCGATTGGCCCCAAGGTACTTTCTGTAACAAGATTGAAAAAACCGGTGATGGTTTAACCATTGTCCGTGAAATCGATGGTGGTCTTGAGACTATTAAAACTAAAACTCCTGCTGTTCTAAGTGCTGACTTGCGTTTGAACACTCCACGTTACGCCACTCTACCCAACATTATGAAGGCCAAGAAGAAGCCTTTGAAGAAGATGTCTGCTGGCGATTTGGGTGTTGATACTACACCACGCATTGAAGTCATTTCCGTTGAGGATCCTCCAGTCCGCAAGGCTGGTGCAGTCGTACCCGATGTTGATACATTGGTCAGTAAGCTCAAAGAAGGCGGTCATTGTTAAACAATGTTCGTTCTGAGTTCTCCTGAACAAAAGTGAATTTTGAAAAATGTGCATTTATATAAGTTTAAAAAACTTCCCCTCCACTATTATTTTGTATGTAGTAAAAATTCCTTGAATGTCTATCTTGATATCATTGGCTTTGTTATAGGAAATAGAAAAATAACCATTTAGTTACAAACAAATTTGTTTTTTTTTTATTATATATTGTTTTAATAAAATTCTATTATAGATTGTACATTTTTCTAAATAATAGTTTATTCACGACACTTCACTGTTGGGGCTTTAATACTAAGATATGAGCAATATTACAAAGTTGTTTATAAAAAAACCCTGTAAAAAATTAGGAAAAAACGTAGCAATTTGTATCTCTACTGGACATACATACACATAAAGAGTGAGATATTAAATCTTAGGACTCTCTAGGCATTAAAGCACTTCCGCTTAATTGAATAGGTTCACTATTTTCTTTACATTCAAATAATTTTTTTGCAAAAACTGATAGAGTAATTAGTTATGTATATCAAAATTTTATATACGTATAAAAAATTTATACAAAAATTAGCGCAATATTTAATAGCTGATTTTTAAGTTTAAATAATTTGAAAAGATGAACAAATTAAAAAGCCACTCATAAATATAAAATGTATTCAGTGTGCACGTGGACAAGAGATATAAAAAGCAATAGCAAATTGTTTTTTTCGGACGAAAAAGTTTATTTTAGAGCGTCAGATAGGTATAATTATATTTATGATTTTATTAAAAGGGTGAGCTCCATCAGACTTGTCTAAATAGCTGTAAGGGACGTGCGATGTATTGGGGGGCAATTTCATGTTATTAAACATGTGATCCTCAATTTCTAAAACCTTGTAAACATGTTCATAAAATAAAAAAGTTTCATGAATATTGTATTTTGTTGTTGTTGTTTTTGTCAATTAATGATAAACCTATTCAAATGAGCCAAACAAATATTAATCAAAACTACGTTTTTTAGTTGTTAAAAATCGATTATTAAGTGTTGCACTAATTTTTGTGCAAGAATTGTAATCACAATCTCTTTATTCGCATTAATCTAATTGATATCGTTGCCTGAAATGCGTAACAACCAAAAAATGGGAAATTGCATCAAAATATGTACATGTCGCAGATTTTTACAACTCATTTACCAAAAACACTGATTTAATTAAAAAATTAGTTATTTCCACAGGTCAAACAGTTTTTATTTAATTTAATTGTTTGTCCTGTAAAAATTTGAAAAGTGTTGTTACGCCCTTTTGCATTTTAGGTGACGATTATATAATTCAAAAACAACTGAGGATCCGCAAAAATAATCTGGGCCAAAATATTGAAAATTATATTGTCTATAAAAGTCTTAATAACATATAGAGTCGTACGACGAACTATAATCAAGATATATTATTGAATTTGTAAAACTAAAAATAAAAAACTAGATGATGCTCTATAGAAATTTTTGTTTTACATTTAAAATTTTTAATTACTCAATCTGTCCGCTAATTTAGATAGATTATGTTTACAAAGATAAATATCGCTGAAGTAATGGAAGTTATGTTAACATCTGCTGCATGGTATAATACTTGGGGTCCTGATACTCAAATTTATAACAGGATCTTAAAATCTGTGCACACAAAGGTAAGAATCTTTCAAAAAGTCCTACGTTAAGTTTATTTTAATTGCGTTCAATATTCAGTTATTTTTAAAATATACACATATTTATTATATTAGTAAACGAGTCCACAGAGATATGTATAACAAAAATACAGCAAAATTAAAATTTAGTTTTGCTTTTCTAAAACCTTTGTTAAAAGCTACATAGTACTATTTTTTATTTCATTAAAATAAATTTATCTGTAAAATTTGCACTTAAGCTAACAATACATTTCTTTTTAAAATTATATCGCAAAAATATATGTTATGGTTTTTATTAACGTTTATTGACTTTAAATATAACGCCTAAAAGTATGCCTTAAATTTTGGAATTGATATATAATTAGCGCCATCTATTGTTTGTACTTATGATTTTTGAAAATACTAAAAATGCAAGTTTTTCGACCTGGCAATACTTCCGCTAAAAATCAATGTCATTAAATTATTTTGGTCTGGCAATACCTTATTTATACCAGTAGAAAAGCAAGGGTGTTGCCAGGTCAAACATTTTTCTTAAACTAAAATACAGCATTGCCAAATCGAATTTTTTTAAAGGCATTGATTTTTAGTGGAATTGTTGCCAGGCCTGAAAACTTAACTTTTTACAATTTTGAAAAACCGTATACCCCAACAATAGATGGCGCTAAATTTATGTCAATTTGAAAATGTAAAGCATAACTTAAGGCATTAATTTTAAATGCTCCCAGACACACATATCAGTGAAGTTTTGTTAAATTTCATTACTTTTGTAGATTTGTTTATTGTTTTTCATTAGTATATTTATATTTCAATGGGTTTTCATGTCGACAATCTAACTGTTGATGATTATAACTAATGTTGTAACATTTTGTAAAATTATACATACATATTTATATAAAAATTAAATAATTTAAAAATACAATTCAGCTAAGACAGATAATAATTAATAAACGTAGTCATTAGGTTTTTTTGTTTCTGTGTTTTTGACGGTTAATTCGGGCAGAATCAACTAGCGGCAAAATTTTCTTTAAAGTCATAAAGGGTATTCAGGGAGTATTAGAAAAGAAAAGTTATTACTTTGCATCTTCTAAAAAAAATATAAAGTTAAAAAGAATAGTAAAATAAAAACCCAATCAGTAAAAATTTTGAAGAGAATATCAAAAATAAAATTTAGAAAAGAAGTAATAAATGAAAAGTTAATAGTAATTTAACAAAAAAGCAAGCAATTGAAAAAGTGTTAGAGATTCATTCATTTTGTATAACAAAAACAATACCATTACAAGGCTTTTAAGGACAATTCATAAGTAAGGACAATCATAGAAAAATATTTATAGAATCATCCTTAAAGGTTTTAAGTGTTGTTATACAAAATGAAATATGAATTTAAGTTGTTAACATATTTTTTGGATAGACAAATCAAAAACGAACAAAACAAACAAAATTAAGCTTAATAAAATATTAAGGATGGAGACATTAATAAAATTAGTTTAAAAATAAATACTGAGGATAAAAGCAATAAGAAATTTTGTTAAATAATACTAAATACTTATAAATTCGTCTTAAATATAAATAAGCACGTAGAACAAATAATGATAATAAATTATTAATATAAAAATATGATATAAATCGGTAATATTCAGAGTTATTTTGAATATCTGGTGGTTAAATTATCTTTGGCTATTTTCATTAATATTTTTTTACTGAACATCTACTCTAAATAGTCAATAAAGTTAATAACAAATAAAATTATATTAATGAAATACATATATAATAAAACCCGCATCCAAACTTTAAATATACATAATTAATTGAGACAAAATAGTGTGGTTGATAGTAGTTGGTGGCAAGAATAAAAAATATCGGTAGTGGTAAGACAATAAAGCAACGCAACATGTGACATATAAAGTGTATTAGAGAGTTCAAAACTATGCAGATGTTAGCCAAAATTGTTTATTTAATTGCAGCTAAAAGAGGACTCTCCTCGCCTAGATTAAAAAAAGGAAAAAAAAGAAAAAAAAAATATTAGTTACGTTTTTCTCCAAATAGTTTAGTGGGATTTAATTCACGAGTCTTAATGTAGGGCATTCTTGGCCACGCCCAAGTCACGGGTAATGAACTTTCATAGTTGAAATTGTATAATTGATCTTGTAGCCATTTACGTTTGTCTTGAGGTTCGGGATAAGTTGAGGCAAGACCTTTAAACAAAAATAGTATTATAAAAAATATTTATTATTTTAAAAATACTATATTATTTAGTATATTTACCTTTGTCATAAGCACATTTTGTTACACCAATAGCAATACGCATAGAAATTTCTTGAATTGTGTTCAATGGTGGATACAGGGAGCCACGATCTAAATCAGCTTGATCTACATAGTTGGCAAGTTCTTGGGCAGCAATTAGGAACATATCATCAGGAATATGATGGGTACCTGTAGCAATAACGCCCAATGCTACACCAGGGAAGATATACGCATTATTGCCTTGGCCAGGTGAGTATGTTTTACCATTTATGGTCACTGGTGGGAAGGGTGAACCCGATGAGAAGATTACACGGCCCTGAAAAAAATTAATATAGCATTAATTAGTTATATTGAAGCAGAATTAACATTTTATTCTCTATTCAATTGTATGTTTTAAACATTCAACAGAAACTCATAACTTACATCTGTGTTTTGGTAGGCCTGTTCAGCAGTGCATTCTGCCTTACTGGTAGGATTAGATAAAGCAAACACAACTGGACGTTCATTATTAGCAGCCATAGTTTGCAAAATTTTAGGTGTGAAAATACCGGCAGCTGCGGAGGCACCAATCAATACCTATAAATGTAAGTAAAAATAAGGTTATTTGTAACAAACTAAGAGAGAAATCTTACATTAGGTTTAATTTTTTCAACAATTTCTTCCAAATTTTTCATAGGTTCAACATCCTTGGCGTAGTTAAGTTTGTGACCCTCCAAACTACCTTCGTCGCGGGTAGTGGTCAATAAGCCATTAACATCAACCATCCAGATTTTGCTTCGGGCCACCTAGTAATTAAAATAACATTTTAAATAAAAACAATATTAATTTAAGAATAAAAAAACAATACTTACATCAATTGGCACACCTTCAGCTACCATGGCTTTTACAGTCAAATCAGCAATACCAATGGCGGCTTCACCAGCACCAGCAAATAGGAAGGTATAGTCAGCAAAACTTTTGCCTGTAATACGTTTCGAAGCGTATAAACCAGCTACCGCTACCGAAGCCGTACCCTGAATATCATCATTGAAGGTACAATATGTATTACGATATTTATCGAGGAACCTAAATGCATTGTGATTGCCGAAATCTTCAAATTGTATCAATGTATTTTGACCATAACGTTTCACTACGGCCTCCATGAATTCATCAATAAAGTCATCATATTCACGGCCCACAACACGCTTTTGACGTAGACCAACATAAAGGGGATCTTCCAAAAGATCAATATTATTGGTGCCAACATCAATAACAATGGGCAAACATTGGTGGGGCTTAATACCGGCCAAAGCGGTATATAAAGCCAATTTACCAACAGGAATACCCATACCGGAAGCACCTAAATCACCCAAACCTAGAATACGTTCGCCATCTGTAACGCAAATAGCACGAACATCAGGTTCAGGCCTATTAAAATACAACACAAATAAAAATAAATATGTTGTACATCACTTAATAAATATTCCTAAAATACCTACCAATTTTTAATGACATCAAACACATGGCCACGATCATTGATGGTCACGAATAGACCACGAGGTCTACGATAAATTAAACCAAATCTTTGGCAGGCCAAACCCACAGTGGGTGTATATACAATTGGCATTAATTCCTCAATATTTTCGGAGAGAAAACGGAAAAATAGACGTTCATTACGATCTTGCAAATCACTCAAATATAAATATTTATTCAACGATTCAGTATACCGATTAACTGCAATTTTACACAATTGCAATTGCTCTTCCTGAGTTTTAAAGCGTGCGGGTTGTAAACCATGTATACCCAATACTTGGCGTTCTTCGAGGGTAAATGCTAAACCCTATAAATATCAAAGCAATATTACGTGTTATTATAGTTGAAATAGAACAAAATTCTCAAATTACACAGAGAACAGCGCTGTGCTGTAAATATGTATGTACATATTTAGCAATGGGGTATTATTATTTTGTTTTATTTATTTAATACTCACTTTGTTTAAACGTGGATCCCGAATGTGATCGATACCCATTACTTGTGAGGGGCACAAGATATCACCAACCACTTCATGATATTCGCGTACTTGTGTGTTGTTGGCAACAGCTGCCACAGCTGCTGTTGTTGTTGGGTTGTTTGATGACCGCGCCGAGGCTGTGGCACATATTTTGGTTAGATTTCCGTATAAACTGTAACATACACAGATATTTATTATTATATTTGTAATTGTATTTGATTAAAATGCCATAATTTAATTAAAAACTAGTAAGATATCTGAAAACAGCTGTATGCAATATATTTATAATTTAACTTTTGCGAGAATTAAAAAAATCGTTGTTTATTCTGACATCAGCTAATTTTTATAAAATTTTAATTTCTAACACCCATTTTCTACAATGTATTTTAATGTATTAACAGTTTTGATATAAAAATTATATCTAGATAGATAGATAGATAGATAGATAGATAGATAGATAGATAGATAGATAGATAGATAGATAGATAGATAGATAGATAGATAGATAGATAGATAGATAGATAGATAGATAGATAGATAGATAGATAGATAGATAGATAGATAGATAGATAGATAGATAGATAGATAGATAGATAGATAGATAGATAGATAGATAGATAGATAGATAGATAGATAGATAGATAGATAGATAGATAGATAGATAGATAGATAGATAGATAGATAGATAGATAGATAGATAGATAGATAGATAGATAGATAGATAGATAGATAGATAGATAGATAGATAGATAGATAGATAGATAGATAGATAGATAGATAGATAGATAGATAGATAGATAGATAGATAGATAGATAGATAGATAGATAGATAGATAGATAGATAGATAGATAGATAGATAGATAGATAGATAGATAGATAGATAGATAGATAGATAGATAGATAGATAGATAGATAGATAGATAGATAGATAGATAGATAGATAGATAGATAGATAGATAGATAGATAGATAGATAGATAGATAGATAGATAGATAGATAGATAGATAGATAGATAGATAGATAGATAGATAGATAGATAGATAGATAGATAGATAGATAGATAGATAGATAGATAGATAGATAGATAGATAGATAGATAGATAGATAGATAGATAGATAGATAGATAGATAGATAGATAGATAGATAGATAGATAGATAGATAGATAGATGGATGGATAAAAAATTTAACTTTCAAATAAGAATTTATTAAAAAATTTTCATTAGAAATCTAAATTAAAAATTCAATTACATCTATAATATATTTATTGTCGATAACAGTATCATTTTAAAAGTGATTTGTTTCTTAACATATTTATATACATAAAAGTAAATAACAAAACAATAATAGTCATAATAATATTTCAAATTTATGTTGTACATGAAATCAGCAATGAAAACAAATATCTGGTATTTTATTTTGTTTACTATTTATTATCTTCAAAAAAGCATGTAAATATAATTCTGCTAACAACAATTACTTAGAAAATAATTCAACAAAAATAGAAAGAAGAATGACGACAAAATGGTCATTAACAAAAATATTAGATTCATCGTCATAATCATCAAAAAGAGCATGAGTTGTTATCATAAGTTACTTTTTTCAATTGTCAGCTGACTCTTTAGTTAAGGTTGTTATACCCAGAAATTAGCAGTTAAAAAAGTAAACAAATTCCTATACAGATATATTAAAAGCATCTATTTGTAATTTGTTTATAACGTATACATATTTAAAAGAAAAATTTGTATTTTTTTTTAAATAAAATAAATAGTAGTAATTACACATATATTTTTAATATGAAACAGTAATATCATACATAGATATCGTCACCTGAGATGCACAATTTTACGGAAAGCTAAATTAAATTAAATCAAGTAAGAACGTATATAGTCCGGACGAACCGACATGCGGATATTGCTTAATAGACTCAATAATTTCGGAGCTGATTGGTATGCTTTAAGGTGGGTATAGGAGAAATATTTTTTTGGGTGTTACAAACTTCAACATAAACGCATAATACCCTCCCCCCTATAGTGGTGTAGGATATAACTATTCTTTTTATAAAGTATTAAATCCCAACATCAATAAATACGTTTGAATATAACTGTGCCGCCAGACGTGTTGCTTTTTAGGACTAATTTGTTGTTACGCCCTTTTGACTTTCATATCAATCGGAGTTTTTAACAATAGAGTTCTAAAAATTTATGACAACATGTATTTTACGCAGTGGACCATTTTCAGTCAAAAAGTCGAATTCAAATTTTTTGATTGTTAAGCATTTTTTGCATTTCAGGTGACGATATGTATATGTACCTTTCTTTATACATAAATATTATTGTTTAACACACTTATTTGGAATGAGAACTAAATTTGAATTTATTGTTCATAGTTAGACAGCAGATAAACTGATCTATTGAATACAAAAACTATCATTAGCGGCATTTGTATTCCATTTGTTTTTAATAGTAAGACAGAATACAAATAATCATAAACAATATTTCGATTGCTACTACCTGTGGTGATTGAAGTACTTACAGTACGTCGTACTTGACATATTTTATGATATCTAAGTAATGTGGAACAAACTCACACCAAATAACGAATGCTAAATACATAGTAGGAAAAAATATATGACGTGTTGTCAAAGCAAATTTTTGTTATATTCATTCATATACAGCGTGACCAAGAATTTCATATACAGATAACATATACATATGTACATAGTTATACAGATAAAGTTGAATTATATCTATGATTTTTTAATAAACACTTATCGCTTAATGTGATATTTTGCAGGAGAGCCAATATCATTTCAGATTGTTATTAATTGTTAATTAATACATATTAAACTAAACAAACATTGGTATTTGTATATTGATTTCTATTTAGGTTCTGCATTGTAATTTACTTCTAACTGTTGCAATTGTTTTAAAATAAACTAAACTAAAATTTACCAAATATTTGCAAGACAAGACATTTAGATGACAAACATAAACGACATTCTTGTAATTGCACGAAAATTCCGGGATTTTCGGTGTAATAGTGACATCTAGTATAGAATCTCAAATTACAATATGAAAGTTCTATGGAAAGGCAGCATAAAGAAATATTATATTTGATTAAAACGATTCAAAATGTTCATTAGTGTTTTCAATTAGAATATTTATATAGGATTTGTGGGCATTTTATTATTTGTTTCTCTGTATTTCTTAACTATTTGTAGTTTGTTTCTGAATAAAAAATACGAGGAAATGTACGTTAAACTTCTAAAGTAATTATTACTTTTGATGGACTGTACTCATGTTTAATGAGTGAATTCAGTGTTGTTTGTGAACTAGATCCACAATTTTGACCAAGTTGAAAGCAAAAAAATGTTTTAAATTTGCTTGAACACAAAAAATAGAAAATATACATATGTAAATATAATAATGTTATTGGCTTGGTTCATGGATTTATCTATTCTTTAGAAATTTTGTTAGTGTGGGTTAAATAGTCAAAAAATAAGAGAATTAAGCAAAAAAAAAAAAAAATGACTAATGTATACCCGCTTTTATTTCTTATATTTCTCAGAGCTTTCACAAACATTATTTAATTATATATTTGTTATAGGCAAAATATTTTTTGCTTTCTATTTTGCTTTTTTAAAGTTGTTTATTTAAATAAAAAATATTTTTGGGTGAATATACTATTTATGACTTTCATTCTAAATAAAAAAACTTAAAATTATAGCAAAAATAATATTTTTTAGTTAGAAAACTGTGACGTAATTAAATTTGTTTATTTACTGAGAATAAAAAAAAACAATATAAGCTCTGATAAAATGTGAACTATTTACTAAACATTTATATTATAATAGAATTTATTTATAACTGACGTCAGTTAAGATATACCTACAATCTAGCTAGTTTATATATTCTTGCAAATTATATTTAGTAAAGGCAATGTAAATGTCAATACTTATAGATGACAATAAATGAAAACTATTAAATAAATAGTTTTATATAAAATAATCATTTATTTTTTTTTTTATAATTTCTAATGGGATAAATATTTAAATGAAATGTGCAAAAATTTACTCAAGAAAAATAAAATGTAATTATTTTTTAATAAAGCTTTTATGTTGAATTTTACCCTAATTCCGATATACATATTTTCAAAATTTATCCTTGTAAAACATTTATATGGGAGCAAGGGTCAAATGATGCCCGATCATTACAAAAATCGCCAGTAGCATTTAGGATATAAATATATGTAAGTATATTTAACTACCTATGAGCTAGAAACACCTATTCGGGGGTACATTTGTTTAGGCTAGCTAGGTAAGATAATAGATTGATTCCAACAATTTTAATAGTCTAAATATGTGTCAAATATTATCAAATAGTATTGAAAATTGTTAACTACACCTTTCGCACAAAGTTAATATGGACACTTGGGATATATCTAATTTGGCGGAATTTTTGGCACACCACCACGTGATGGCCAATGGTGTTTAAGTATTGAAAATATTTTTTTATGTCATTTGGAATCAAAAACATCACGCTCCAACACCAATTTCTAATATAAACCAATATTTTTTGTTCAATTTTTTTATTTTAAATAAAGGTATTATGTTATATTATGATTTTTTAATAAAGCATTTACATATGTTGAATTTTACCTTAATTCCGATATATTTATTGATGTAAAACAGATTTTTTACTTTTAAGCTATTTTCTGAGATGGGGGCAAGAGTCAAATGAGGCCCGATCATTACGAAAATCTCCATTTAGGAGATACATATGAGCAAATATCAAAGTTTTTTAATTCCTTTGAAATTGAACTAAATTGTTAATAACTTAGGTAAGAATAAAATGTCAAATAATTTTTTTACAGGATTATAAACACAAGACTTCTAGCCTAAAAATTGCAAAATTTGTTCACCTTCTTTTTATGTGTTTGTCAATAGCTTTAAACTTTTGGACACTGTTCGCTATTGTACTAACTAAAGACACTTAGGAGATTAATTCTTTACAAGCTTATCCTTGTGCATCACTTTATGTACTAGAACTTGGATCTTGAAATTTGTCACCAGGTTTTTTCCAATTTTGAATTTTTTACAGTTTTTTTTTGACCGGGCGCTGACGCCCCTTATTAAAATACAAAAATTGGGACAACAATGGTTAGCTGATGTAATTATTCACAGTATGGTATATATCTCGTTAATGTGCCCTGAATAGAAGATGGGTACGACAGTTACAAATGTTGGAAAACTTGATCGTAAATTTTTTAAAATTCAGTTTTTGGTGCAGCACATTCGCACATAAATATATAGGAGTTTTTTGTTATTTTAAAATATAACATCGGAGGAGCATGCAAAAATATTCGAATGCAAAAGTTTATGAACTTTTTAAAAATTTTGCAAAATTTAATTTTTTTATTTTTGCGGTTTTATATATCAAACATCGAATTATACAAACATTTATACATAATGACAAACACAATGGTTTGGGATCATAAATGTATTTAAAATATCCTTGTAAGCTACAAAGACGTCACTTTTATCTAATCACGATGCTCAAAATTCGTCAAAATTATCACCATTTGCAAGTTTTCTTAATACTTTAATGTAAAACTGGGGCGCATCAAAAAAGTTAAATAATTGTAGTTTTTGTGGGCCAAATAAAATGTACCTAGCATCAAAACGCATCAATCTATAAATATTTAATTCCTTCAATCTATAATTATTTAATTGCATTCCCTTATAAATAAAGTTTGTAGAATTCAGATACATATTAACTGTTTTTTCTTAAATTTTACTGATTAGCGAAATTTCAAAAACTATAAGCAACAAGTTAAAAAAATACTGAAATTAAATTTCTAACTGTGTACTTTTAAAATTTTTGAAAATAAATCTTATGGTTTGTATTTATTGCGCTGAATTTCAATTATTTTTACAATTATGTGAATTTTTTTCAAATATAACGTATATAAATACTATTTTTAAGAATTTTGTGAAATATTTAGGTGAAAACAGCTATAACTTTTGCGCCCCTCTATCAAAATGATTAACGCGAACGGATTCATCGCGTGTTAGGGTCTGTTTATATTCACACATAAAATATTGTGTGTGCCATCAAAAAAATTTTTGGAGTTTTTTTAACTCTAAAATTAAAAAACTTTGATAATTGCTCATATATGTAAGTATATTTAACTACCCAGCAAAAAAAGTGTGGAAAAAGATGTAGTATTTTCATCACAACTAGTAACCCGAAGTACTTCAAATTCTGGTGAAAAACCTATGAATTTTGTCATTGGAGGGATCTTAAACCCTTATACATACATAGTAGGTATGTATAAGGGGTTAAATTAGAAGTGATAAAGAAAATGGTATTACTTCCTCATTCTCTACCTCTAATTTCAAACCGGCTTTAGTTTAGTTTCTTTTATTTCTTTATATTTTTGGTTAATATTGGTATAGCTAGCTACCTTTTTAAATTTATTTTTTTGACGGATCTTAACTTATCTCAAGGGAAACAAGGACACCACCCCATTGCCCTGAGCACGGTCGGATTGAAAGGTAGCATAAGTTTCTTGAGAGATAGGACCATGGTTAGTCTGGTCAGTTACATAAATTTAATATGTATTACATACATATATAACTATTATTTAATATTTTGAATTCTTTGAAAAATTATTTACAAATTTATAACAGACAACACCGTTTTTATTCCTTCATTACCCGAATTTTTAAATAGGCTAAAAAAAGGTTCAACGGGAACCGATTTTTGAAAAAGTACCAAACACATATCAATTATTATTTTGTATAATATATGATATATTTGGAATTTTATTTATACCTTTGTTTCTTTAGGAGATATAAAGGTTACAATTTTTACACTTTTTACCCATTTCATCCCCCAAAAGCTCGAGTTTCCAAAAGTTCTTTCTTAGTGGTAGGAAACTATAACCAAAATTTCATGACTCTATTTTTAAAGATTTGGGCTGGGCGACGATGAATCAGTCTGTCAATCATAGAGTATATTTTCCTACGAACATTTTCATACAACTAATAGATTTCAAAGTCTCATTTTCATGAAAACGAGAATCGGATATAGTCCATCGATAAATTTTTTGTATTACAAACATCAGAACAAACCTATAATACCCTCCCAATATAGTGTTTGTAGGGTATAAATCGAACTTATTTTAAGTGAATATGTTCATTTAAAAAAAAAAATATTTTTGTAGTTTTCTTTTTTTAATAGAGATAATTTTAAATATAAAGCTAATTTAATTTGTCATAATTATTTTTTATAGTACACATATACTATTAGGCAAACCACAAAGCTTTGAACAAAACATCAACGTTTTTTGTTAAATTAGTGTAGAAGAAAGTGTGTACATATGTATGTACATTTTAACATTCATAACGAAAAATATCTCATAATGAGAAAAATTTTACGTTTTTAATAAAATACATTATTTGAAAAAAGTTTAATAAGGAAATCAAATAATATATTTTTAAGCCCTTATTCATTAAAAACATTTAATTTTATAAAAGGTAAAAAAATAAATTTCCCATACAAAATTTTATTTATAAACCGTTTATAAAATAAAAATTTGTTTATGAATAAGGCCTTTAATATCTATATATTAAATACAGTATACAACATATTTTATAAAGAATAGAAGGTTTAAAGTGCGGACATATGTATATATGAACATATAATGTAAAATTATATTTATTATAAAAAATATTTGGAAAACTCTTTCTAGATAACAATAAGAAAAAAATACTCATTATATTTGTCTTTGGCCAACAAATTTGAACCTGGCCATGAAAAATTGTTTTTGTATACATATGAATAAAATATAATGAATCTGAAACAAAAAGTATTAGGTGAAGGAAATAGCTGTTAGATGTACATTAGGGATATAACTAATTTGGCGAAATTTTTGGCATACCACCACGAGATTTCCAATGTGGTATAAGTAATGAAATTTTTTTTATGACATTTGGAATCAAAAACATCACGCACTAACCTCAATTTCTAATATAAATAATTTTTTTTTAATTTTATATTTTTTTATTTTAAAATTAAAATATTTCGATATGGGCATTTTTACTGAAAAGAATACATTTGTCACATCACTACTCATCACTGCCTATATCTCAGGCCTTTTTGATTTTTACGCAAATATACCTACTATTTTACATCCTTTAATTAAATTAAAACCAGATTCAGATAATAGAGGTTTATATGTTTCACAACTAAATTGAAATGCAATTTTTAAATAACAGTCATATTTGAAACTTGATAAAACTATGTATGTATGTATATGAAAGACTTTAGGCTAATACACGAGCCCTGAATTCTAAAAACCCGAATTTTGGATTATGCCGGTCTTGTAGTAAATGAGCGATATGTTTATCTTGATATTAATTACAAGAATGATTTACTATATTGATTATTGTCAATATTGAAGAACAATTCAAGACAATTTTTGGTATTAAATTTATCTAAATCTATCTAAATAATAAATATTAAAATGTGTGACAAAATTTAAAATATCAAAAATTCAAAAAACAAAATTAATTAATAAAAATATATACCTATTAATTGTTATTTTATTTATTTATTCAAAGTAATATTAAAAGCCTTCATAAGCAAACATTTTCAAAATTTTAATGAAGTAAAGACATTTTTGGCATTCAGAAACCTTCTAACATGAATTTATTACTTTATTGTATGGTTTTACAAAATTTTTTATGATTTTTAGGTAAAAGATAAACTTAAAAACACGATTTTGGAAAGTAATATTATGTTTTTGTTATCCCACTTTAAATTTATAATAATTTCTAAAATATTTTGAATCTAGCAATGGCCACTTCCAAAAAGGTATTTTTGTAGATAGGAATTTTTTTTCAATTTCAGTATTGTTTTAGTTTTTTCTTATGAAGTTTCAATCGGAATAATTAGTAAATTCTGTTTATATGTATGTATTTTTAACTTTTACACGAAAATATACTTTCTCTCAACCAACATTTTAAAACAAAAAATTTAAAAGAAATACCTAACAATTTGTTTTTTATTTATTTTTTAAAATGACATACAAACAATTTTGAAGGTGGAATAAGTAGAGTGAAAAGAATGCGAAATAAAACAAATGCAAAAATAGAAAAAGACAATTTTTGCGTACAGGCGTATTTAAAAATGTTCTATTTATGAAAAAAATGAAATTATACCTAAATAATATAATTTTAACAAAAAGTTATACACACTCATAGTAAATTTAAAATTAACCACCCTCAAACATCCACCCACCCATCTTCTTGACAACCAGACAAACCAACAGAAAACATCTATCTCTTCTTGACTTGTACGCAATTATTGATTTTTTATTTTTTTTTTACGAAATTTGTTTTGTTAGGAACGAAGCAAGAAAAAACTTCTTATCAAGTGCAAGTAAAATGAAAAATAAAATTTAAAAGGTCTTGGTTGTTATGTAATAAATATTGGCAACAGGATGGTGGGTAAAATTTATAAACAGGTCGGCTGACTGATAGCAAATTAGATGAAAACCTCACACAAAAATTTATTGTACATACGATAATAATTGACAGTTGTAAAAGAAATCGAAAGTTTAACAATGTTGGCAAGAAAAAATGCATTTTAGCAGACAACAACAACAATGTAAACAATGTAACAGAAAAAAAGATATATTTTGAAAATTTAGTTCATGGTCAAGAGCACTCAGACATGAGAGTGGAAAACGTTTTTAGGGAAATCAGGCAGACACAATGGCGCTAATAAAACATGTATAAATCTGCTGTAGTATTCCTTTTTGCCAAGATAGTGCAGACAGACAGCTGATTCGCGTTACAGGTTCAAATTAAAATTCTCTTTTTTAGAAAATCTATGTGATACTAGGTCAATGGGAGAGATTTTGTGTACACCGTCAAATATTTGACTCTTGCACATTAGAAAACGTGCGCGTCCCTGCCCCAACGCTCCTTTTGGCATTAAAATCGTACAAATATGTATACAAAAAAATGATGTGAAAATAATTATTGCATAAGCTGTTTTTTCACAAACAAATTTTTTATTTATAATAAGATATTTTATTAACAAGAACTTTTGTTTAAAAATAATACATGTTTGTTTTACTTACTTGGGACGTGAGAACATGATGATTGATGATTCCTTTTCTTTTTCTGGCTAAAACTGAAAGCTTCTTCAATGGTAGCAAATTAAATTTTAGAAAATATCTTATAACCGTGCGTTTTATATGTTTAATTATCAACAAATTTACTAATCGAACATTATATAAACGAATTAGAGATTATTTTTAAAACAATAGCGTTTTTTTAACTTTTATTTTTGCAATTATTTATTTTTTAAATTTTAAAACTCACGTGCCAACTAACCATGTACAAAAACCCAACCGAATTCGTTGAACGAAGCTTTTCAACTGATGGGACGGCAAGCTACGGCTGTATAAAGTAGTAGTAGATTTTGTATTTTGCCTGTTTCAAACAAAAGTACACACACAATGATGAATATTCTTCAGGTGATTGATTCATGCAAAGAGATCAAACATTCAAATCCAACCACAAGTCAGTTGGCTTCAAACCAATAGCTACACAAACAAATTTTAGTATGACACAGTTGTTTAAAAAAGTATCTATATTTTGTTACTTTTTTTGCAAAAACTAATTGTTTACGAATGAGAGTTAAGACAAAATACAAACAAAGAGTAGCTATTGTCATAAACGTCAATGTTTTCATAACATAAAACTTTGCAGTATATTAAAAGAAAAAACTGTTAAAACACCCTGTTAGCAAATATATCAACCTTAATTTGACAAACAAATATTATGAATACATAGTCAGAAAAAAAAAAATTAATTAGAAAAATTAATTATTGTATGAATTTTTTTATTTAGAATTTCGAAAACTTTTTTAATTTTTTTATTTATTTTTTTCTCTTTATTTACACAAAAAATAATTTTTTTAACAACAACACAATTTGAGCGTAAACTTTTTTTAACTATCACAAAAAAAAAATTTTCAAAAAATAGGGAAAGAAAATTTATCATTATTTCAGTAACTTTTGTTGAATAATTTTTCAGAAATATATTTTTAACCACATTAAAAAATATCTGCCAAAAATTACTTGGTTAATTTTTATAAGGAGTTAAGAATTAAATTTTTGACCATGTTTATATAATTTTTAGTATAGTAATGGGGGTCATTAAGAAGTAAAAAAGGACAGGTATCTTAGACTTTCGAAATGAATTTAGAAACTAGATGTTTTGTACTTTTCTAAAACATTTATTTTTGTGTATTTTAACTAAACACAATTTCACATAAAAATCATATGAAAAGGATATAATAATATTAATAAAAACTTTACAAAATGAATAGGTGTTTCGTGATTTGATCCATTGGATAAAATTGATGTATAACTTTGTACCGAAGTATTTTCAGAAGGCGTTGATTTGCCTTCAAACTCATAATACGCACGAAAACCATTACGATCGAAGCGATCGTTTGTATAGAATGACACTCTGAAGAAACGATCATCTGAACGTATTTCAAATTTATCACGTTTGCCACAATATTTTGGAAATTTACGATCCGTACTGATAAAATTTGAAAATTCAACATAATCACTGGCTGTTAGATAACCGCAACTACATATATGTAAAAGGATTGGAAAATGTAAATAGAAACATAAAAATATAAAATAAGTAAGAGAAATAATAAAGCATTATGATAAATATTTGCGATGTTTTTGTGTTGAAAATTACCTGTCTATACCCTCCACATCGAAAAAACTAAAATTAATCTTGACTTTTTCCTCAAATTCAGCATAAAAAAGATAGTGACAAGCAATGTTTTGCGGATAAAGACCTGGAAAATTTGGCGAAGTAAAAAATCCTGTTTTCTTTGTTGTACTATTGTAAATAAAACTGCAATTGTGACCCAACTGATAGCCAGTAGTTATACCATAATCTTGTGGAATTTGTTTAGTATAAAAAAATATATAAAATGTATAATTTATATTAAAATAATATTGGAATTATGTATATTTTTGTGGATATGTACATTTTTAATAGAAAACAAACAATTGGAATGTAAAGCTTGGCCTTTTTGTTATTAAAATGTTTATATCATTTGTAATACTTTACGTTCGATTTAAATAGTTTTTTCACTGCGTACCTAATTATTACAATTATCTATTCTTTTTTAATTCAATTATTTTTAAATATGTATTCATCAATTTTACAAAATGAATTCTTAAACCTATAAATGTTAAATTCTTGATAATTAAATTTACAAATCGAATTAAAAAGTTTGTCGTTCGTAATCGTAAAAAACTAGTTTGAAATTAATCTATTACAAATTATTATTTCAACAATCAACAATTCAATTTGATATAGATTAAATGAAAGCTTGGTTTTATAATTCAAAAACATTTCTTGTGAACGATTTAAAAAATTGTTCATTTAAGTATTACAAGAAAAATTACAGACCATGCTTTACATACGCAATAATTATTAACTTTTAAATGACATTATTTTACAACTTACTTGTTAAAAACTTGTATTCCGCTTTGAAACCGTAGTATCCAACTTTTTGTTGATTTGTAGGATATTTACCAATAAATTGTAACATTAGTTTAGGCCCTTTTGACATTATGGGCTTAGGTAAAAATGCCCCACAATAAAAATCAACCGGCTCATACTTTCCTTTAACTTGTGTCAGCAATTGCAAAGAATCATTTGGTTTACATTCTGATGAATTTTTATGTTCGGTGGGTATATTAAAGTCGAGAAATTTAATTTGAACACGTTCATCACCACTGGCATAAAATTCATAAATACATTCGATACGCCCTGTGTTGTGTAACGGCACTAGATTGTTTACATTGGCCAATCTGACATTTGATGTGAACAGCTGATTCGATTCAAATACCCCTGTTTTGTTCCAACGAGAGTCATAAATTTCTTTGCAACTTCCTAGAAATATAAATAAAAAAATAAAATATGAGTGATTTATAACAACAAATACAAGCAAAACCAATTGATGTTTTTACGCAAGCTTAAAAAAGTTTTGATTGTAAACAATTTTAGTCATTATAACATAAACAAACAAGCGAGCAAGATGTGGCATGTCGAAGACAATCGTTTGGCAACATTTACTCGAATTTGTGATGAAATTGCTGAGGAACGTAGTTACTTAAATAAGGCAAAGATTTTGGAGAACTTTTTGCGCAAGGGCTGTAATAAAAAGGAATTTCAAGGCGACACTTTACTATGGGTACGCATGTTAATACCGGGAGATTCTCAACGTGTTTACAATTTACAAAATAAACAAATGGTGAAATTATTTTCGCGGCTTTTCAATTGCGATGCCCATGAAATGCAATTAGATTTGGAACAAGGTATTATTAGACTTTCGGTACAAATGAAGATTACTAGCATAAGGAGTCGAATTAAGGAATGGTGTTCTTAATAGATAAACACTTTTACGAATTTAAGATATGCTGATAGTCTTGATATGTTACGAAATTTATTTCGCTTAATATTAACATAATTTAAAATAGGTTTCTTAAATAAATTTTAGTGTAACACTTTAAATATTTTTTTTAGAGGGAGATGTTTCTGAAACTTTGCGTAAATTCTTTGAATCTTCTACAAAATTAAAACCTCAAAAGAGTAGTAGTTTGTATTTACAAGAGGTGGAAGAGTTTTTACAGAAACTGGAGCAGCGTACTAAGGAAGATGAACAGACGGAGCTATTACGGCAGCTTTGTAAACAAACTACTGCTACTGATTTAAAAATGGTAATTTCGACTCAAAATAGTTTGTAAAATGTTAAAATCCATCCATAATTTCAAAACGTATACTTATGTACCTATTTCCAGATCATTCGAATAATTAAACAAGATCTTCGAATGAATGCGAAAGCAAGTCATGTATTGGCTGCTTTTGGCCCCATGGCTTATGCATCCTATCAAGCTACCAGAGATTTGGCGCAGGTAGTAAAGCAATTTTCATTTAAAGATGCCAAAGCGGGGAAAAAAGCTGATTTTGTACCGGTGACAGCAGTTAAAGGGAAAAAGGTGGGTAAATTAATAAAACAAATTGGGCCGAAATTGACCTCTTTTTTAGGGTAAAGTGGTTAATGTTCAAGTCATGACACCAATATCTCCCATGTTAGCTAATGCCTGTAATTCGGTAGAAGATGCTTTTAAAAAAAGTCCCAGTGGTTTATTCAGTGAAATTAAGTACGATGGAGAGAGAGTGCAAATTCACAAGCAGGGAAATGAATTTAAGTAAGTTTTCTTAAGAAAAATTATACATTATATGATGTGGTTTAATATTTAAAAACTGAAAATCCATTGCAGATTTTTTAGTCGTAATTTAAAACCTGTTATGGAACATAAAGTCAAACGCTTTAAGGAATTCATACCCAAGGTAAATGAAATTGGAACAATCTAAAAAAAATAGTTTTTTATATTTTGTTCAATATTTAGGCTTTTCCCGGGGCTGGTGATATGATATTGGATTCTGAAATTATTTTAGTCGATACCATAACAGGTGAACTATTGCCTTTCGGTTCTTTAGGAGCCCACAAGAAAAAAGAGTATCAGAACGCTGAAGTCTGTCTTTTTGTATTTGATTGTATATTGTTTAAAGGAGAAGATCTAACAAATTTGTATGTTTAAATCCAAAAATTTTAAAATAATTCATTACATTAAACTCAAAACTTTGCTTGCAGATCTTTTAGGGAGAGACGTAAAATATTAGAGGACAATATAACAACTATTAAATCCTACGTCCAATTATCAGAATCTCATTTTCTCAAAACTAAAAATGAATTGTCTCTAATGACAGCTAAAGTTTTGAAAGCCAACCTAGAAGGAGTAGTTTTGAAAGATCCCTCTGGCACTTATCAGCCAGGTAAGCGAGGATGGTTGAAAGTTAAAAAAGACTATCTTTTCGGGGGACGTATGGCTGATACCGCAGATTTGGTATGCTTAGGAGCCTCTTATGGTTCCGGTAAGAAAGGAGGTGTTCTTAGTATATTCCTAATGGGTTGTTATGATCGGCGTGATCGTTTGTGGAAAACAGTGACAAAAGTACATACTGGTTTAGATGATAAAACACGTTTAGAAATGCATGATCATTTAATGAAACTTATGGAAAGATCTGATGGAAAACAGACTCCCTCATGGTTTTTGTGCAATAAACCTTTAATACCGGATTTTATTGCAAAAGATCCAAAAGTTATGCCTGTATGGGAAATAACCGGTGCAGAATTTACAAAGTCTGGTGAACATACGGCATCTGGCATATCAATACGTTTTCCCCGTATAACACGTTTAAGAGATGATAAGTCAGCAGAACAAGCTAATGATTTGGAACTTTTGGAAAAATTGTATGAAGCCTCGAAAAATAATGTAAATGTTGATCTCTTAATTAAGGGATGTGATAACGACAACGACAACAAAGATGATAAAGTCAACATAAATAGTAAAATTAATTTACAAAAAACTCCTAGGAAAACTATACAACCAGAAGGTAATGTTTCACCCTGCAGCAGTAAAAAAATTAAAGTCGAAACTCCCAGTTCCAGTGGTAGGAAAAGGCAACTGGAAGAAGATAATGACAAACCACAAAATAGTAAAAAAATTAAAGCAGAACCTTTAGTTAACAATGATAAGAAAACTTCGCGCAAGCAATTGACTTTAGATAGTGCCTTCAAAACATCAAATAATATTAAAAAGGAAGAAAAGGCCGATCAAGTTGTAAAAATTGAAAAACAAAGTAATTTATTTAAGAATGTTGCAGCATGTTTTGAAAATGTTAAAAGCTCCACTGAGGTGATTAAACAGTTTAAATCCCATAGTGGTACAGTTACCACAGATCCCAAGAATGCTGATATAGTTTTTTATGAATCCTATGATGTTAAAGTTAAATTAAGTGATTGTAGAGTGAAGTATCGTAAAACTAGTCATCATTTAAATACACAGTGGTTATACGAATGTATAAAACAGAAAAAATTATTAGATTATGGTTTGTATGCGATTTGTATAAAGTAATGTAATTATGTAAATACAAACAATAAAAAACTTTTGTTAGCATTTGAGAGAACATACTATGCGTGGTTTTGTTTGAATGGTTTTAATGTTTAAACTTAAGTTATTCTATTGAATTGAATCGTCGTTTCTCCGACAGAAATAATTATGTATGTGTTGTTTGTTAGGTTTTCAGGAGAGCATAAAAACTGTTTTATTTCGTTACATTTGAAATTATATCATATCAGAATATCGGAAATCGAATTAACGTATTCGTGATCGAATGAGCTTTCGTATCGAAAATATATTTAATATGCCTATAATTTAGAGTCGAGTAATCTGAATATTTGAGTCATAATTTAGCAGATGTTTAGGATCTATATTGTTAATTCTATCCAACTTTTCAACATGAGATTTTTTGTTAATTTTTGTAAGAAGAAAGTGTTAATCCTAAGATTTATTTATTTCTTAGGTAGCTAATCATTGGTTTTGTTACCTTTTATAATGATTTAAAAACTAAATACTTATTTTTTGTAAGTCTTAAGGAGTTTTTATAAATTTAAGTGTAAATATAGCAGGTAAATTTTCATAACATGTTAATGGTAGATCCTTAAATAAGCCTCAAATGGATAAATCTCTTGTACTAAAATTTTACACTAAAAATATATTATTTTCAGTAGTGTCCCGAGGAACAGCATTTTTAAGAATCTCATGTAGGACACCTCTTTTTGAAATGGGTCTCATACATAATTTTAGAATTTGTTCTAGAGTATTTTTCCTCTACAAAATTTTTAGTGAGTTTGAGAGGCTTTTTATCTTTTTCGCAATAAAACAACTGAGCAGTGGTGTTGTGAGTAAGAACGCGAACTAAAGAACAAAAAGCCCATGTCCGTATTCTGTGTGAGCAATTTTTTTGTTTTCAAAACAAAACAACTTTTTAACTCCCTGTTTGTAAGTACTTATTTAAGTAAAATAATGAGTTAAAATGCTTAGCTTTTTAACTCATTACTTTTAAATGTAAGTTTTTGCAGTGATGTTACACAAAATATTTTGGGTTTAGTGTTGTCCGTTCGTGAGCTGGACAGTTCTCAAGAAAATATCCTATGGGGGACACAAACTTTACATGTTTATTTCAAAATTTTACCCAGTTTCAAAAAATCTTAGTTTTGTTTTATGATGGTTAACAAAATATTTTGAGTCTATCAATAACCGTTTGTGAGCTGGACCGGTTACAATAACATATACTAAAAATCCTTATAGATGACGATGTCCATTTAAATATGTCCTGATATCGATTAACTGAATAACGTCTTCTTTAAAAGTCGTGTTTTTTACAAAAACTCTCTCTCTTTCTCAAAAAAAAAAGCACAATTATAAAAATTGCTCTTAATAATGAAAGAAATATTTAAAAGCTTTTTATATTTGTATCATTTAACTATTATGGATTTGTATCAGTAGTATTATAAAATACTTGGACAAGTGCACAACAAATTTATGAATAAATAAAAAACATCGAAAATACATTTAAAATGTGGATAGAATTTATTATATTGGCAATTGTAGCAGCTATATTATTTTATCGTTGGGGTACAAAAAATAATGACTATTTTAAAAAACGCAATTTACCCTTTGATAAACCAACATTTTTATTGGGTAGCGGTATAGAAATAATATTCGGCAAGAAATCTGTTTTACAAATATTATGTGAACTCTACAATAAAGAAGATGACATGTATGTTTAACAATTTATTAATTAACATTTTTAAATTAAAATTTAATTGACTTAATTACAATTTTATACCCACTAATAGAATGTCACGAATAACAATTAAAAATAATAATTTTAAAATATTTTGTTCATTTTATCTTGTTATCAGGCCCATATTTGTTTGGCACTTCACTAGTTTAAAAAATCGGTAACCATTCAAATTTCTTAACAATTTTTTTCATGAAACGTTGAAAAAAATGTGGTCCCACGAAATGTTAACCCAATATCAATCAATACATTCTTTAATATACGTCAAATATTGAAATTCTATGATCATTTAAATTTCTTACTTTTTTATCATTTTAATTTTCCGTTAAAAACAATTTTTATGCAAAAACTTTCATTTGATTGAAATTCCTTAAATAAGCATCAAATTAAGAAAATATTGAAAAACTTGTGATTACTAGAATTTTTCATCGAAAATCGATTTTTCATAAAATTTAAACCGATGGTCGGGTGTAGCCTCCGGTAGGTAAGTGGCACTAGAAAGGATGAGCACATCAGGCTAGGTGTTTTTCTAGACTGTAGTTCCCTAAATGAAAAAAAAAAAAAAATCAAATATGTTTTCCAAACTAGATCACATTTTCCCAATTAAAAAAATCGTCAAACATTTTTATTTAGAGGTAAATAATATTTTTTAAATTTTACTTTTAATTTCTTATTTTTAAAATTAAGCGTTTATGGTGTTTTCGATGGTCGCCAACCGATTTATCTAGTACGAGATCCACAACTAGTAAAGCATGTTATGATTAAAGATTTTGATCATTTTGTAAATCGTCGTAATTTCCTAGACACCGGAGGAAGTGGCAATTTACTTATACACTCATTATTTTTCTTGCAAAACGAAACATGGCGTGATATGCGCAACACTTTAAGTCCAGCATTTACCGGCAGTAAAATGCGACAAATGTTTAAACTTATTGTCTCTGAAATAGAAGAGTCCATGAGATATCTCAGGGATGAAATACACAATAATGATTCGGAAGAAAATGGTTTGGAGTTGGATGTTAAAGATTTTACTTCACGTTTAACGGTCGATATTATAGCGTCTACAGCATTTGGTTTGCAAGTCAATTCATTTAAGAATAAGGATAATGAATTCTATACTAAAGCTCAAAAAACAATTAAGTTTACGGGACTGCAGCAAATTAAAATGTTGGTTATGGAACTATTTCCTCGAGTGGCGAAGGTAAAATTGAAAGTTTTCCCATTCTCTTTCAAAACATAACCTAATCCAAAAAAATTAACGGTTGAATTATTTAAATTTTTATTAATTTCAGTTACTTAAACTTGCTATGTTTGACAAGGATTTCGTCGATTATTTCAAACGTTTGGTTTTAGATGCTATGAAATATCGTGTGGAGAACAATATTCAACGTCCCGATATGATTAATCTTTTAATGGAAGCTAGAGGCATGATACCAACTGATACCCCAAAAACACATTTCCGTGAATGGAGTGATGTTGAAGTAGTGGCACAATGTTTCCTGTTCTTTTTTGCCGGTATGGAACCATCATCGGCTGTTATGAGTTTTAGTGTACACGAGCTTATGGAACATGCTGAGGTACAGGAAAAACTTTATCAGGAAATACTTCAATATAGTGAAGATTCAGAGAATGAATCCGTTACGTATGATACATTGAAAAAGATGCCCTATATGGATAAGGTGGTGTCTGAAATGTTACGCAAATGGCCGGTTAGCTTGATAACGGATCGTGTTTGTAATAAAGATTACATCTACGAATCGAATAATAAGAGGTTTGAACTTAAAAAAGGGGAAATACTACGTATACCAATGTGTTCCATACACAGAGATCCCAAATATTATCCCGAACCGGATGTTATAGATCCTGAACGATTTAGTGATGACAATAAATCGAAAATAGAAGGTGGTGCATATTTACCATTTGGTTTGGGTCCCAGAATATGCATAGGTTAATTTAATAGATTGAATTTATATTTGTATTGTTAATTGTAATTAACGTTTTATAATTTCAGCTAATCGTTTCGCTATAATGGAGATTAAGGCCTTTCTTTTCTATTTACTACGAGAGTACCGTTTGGAGGCATCCCCGAAGACAATGAGACCTTTAGAATTAAAAAAATCCGGTTTTCAAGTTATACCAGAAAAGGGATTTTGGATACAAGTTGTACCACGCAAATAACTTTTGTATAATTTTTAATTTGATTTATTTTATATATTTATTTTTTCATATTTTAAACAATAAAAAAATAATAAAATAATTAAAATATATTATTTATATGTAGGCTGGAACGGCTCACAGAAAAGGGGAAAAGTGTCCTCTCAAAATATAACTATTTTGTCATATGATGTTACCAGAGTATATAATTTTCTGAACTTTTTCCAATCCCAGGAATTCATTTATATAAATTTTCATTCCAGTGAGATGCATTTAAGTATCATTAAAACAAACAATTTTATGTTTAAGCTTGGTCATAGAAATTCATTCCGATCGAAAGCCGTTTTATTTTTCACAATTGAAATCGTAATTATTGGGTTTTCTTTACGTTCATTACTAAAAATTTTAATAAAATTAACAATTTAAAAATTTTCCCGCTTATAAACCCTTCAGGCCAAAGATGAAAAAGCTTTTTAAAATGGTGTGCTGATTCTAAAAATGACAATAAAAAAAGTAGTATCACCCACCAAATTTCAACATTCTGATTTCCTGACTCTATACTTGTGTCTCAAATATTCAATTCTGTTATTTTACAGAAGTTGCGAATATTGACCGTCTCTGTTTCTAGAATAAATTTAAAGTTATAAAAATGCAATTTGTAAAAATTTAGGGCGATAGAACAGTGCTAACTGTAGACGCCACGGCTCTAAAGTGAAAAGTGATTTTTGTTAAAATTTTACCACTAAAATTGTATTTTTGGATTTTAACAACAAAATTTTGCCAGACTGTCATAAATCAAAAAATTTAATTTTTTTTGATTTTTTTTTTAAATTTTATATCTCAGTAGAGATTCAGATCTTTTATCATAGATATTGATAATTTCGTTAACTATAGGACATACATTCTTAAAAGATGACACTAAAGCTACGTTGACATCTATCAAATAACCGACATTTTGATTTCTTTTAAATATATATTTATTAGGGATGTAACGAATGCTCGCTTTCGCATATGGGAATAATTCGCTTCCTATTTTATATTCGCATTCGCTTTTGTATTCGCAAAATCTTAGCGAATACCTCGGATAACGAATCCTCGGATAAAATGAGCTACTTTTACAGTCCCTCAAGTAGAATTTCATACAATTTTTCTCATTTTTTAACGAACTTCAAAAGTTATATGTTGAAATCATTGGAAACTTCAGCCATCTTATTACAAATTTCGCTTATGACGAACAAATTTGACTGGTCCCCTGGAGTTCGTTATAAACGGATTTGACTGTATTTGCAAAATTAGTGGTTACGTCTTTTTCGTCAAATATTTGTTAGGTGTGAACGTACCTTGACTGTGAGTTATTTCGGTTATTTCTTTAATATTTTTAAAACTCAAAAGTTTTTATAAAACACTGATCATTTTACGCAATATCTAAATAGGAATCATAGTCAAAATTCATCTTCTTAAATAATTAAGGCAAAATTTATTATTAAGTAAAATTTGCATTTTTTACTGTTTGATAAACCCCAGGAGAGAAAACGCTGACAAAGCAGTTTTTCTTCATGATAAGTAGGTAAATAAATGTATTTTAAATTTGTTGTAAATGACGAAATTAATATTTGAATACAAATAAAAAAATTATTCTAAAAATAATAAACAAAAAGGTTATAAATGTCGTACTTGTTTAAAAGCAATTAATTTTATCATTTTAACTACTTTCTACCTGGTCAGTAATATTTGTTTAAAATTTCATCAGACATAAAGAAAAATTAATCTACAATAATTGATATTGATAAGATGGATGGATGATGTTAATAAATTAAGGTTTTTAATAGTGTCTAGATAAAAGAGTATTATTTGACATTTTACAAAAAACGGTTACCGGTTAACCGGGGTTTTCATTAATAAAATATTCAGATCTAAAGTGGCCGTCAAACATATTTGAGACAGCGAAATATCGAACAAGAGACCCAGGTTCGAATTTCACAAAATTTTACGTGAAATATGTTCACTTTTCACTTTTTTCGTTTAGGAATTTCTTAGAAATTTTTTTAATTTAATATCAATAAACAATTTAAACAAAAATACTAATAAAAACTTGTGATTCGCATTAAGATTTTGTCAAAATATTAAAATGACCTGTAGTCGAAAATGATAACATGTAGCGCTCACAAACAATTGGCTGTTACCGCTCACAAGTTTTTAGTACTTTTATTAAATTATAGGTAAAACCAAAAAAAATATTTAAAATATTTTTAAATGAATAATGCTATGCGGGTGAATTTTTAGTGTGCAAAATTAAATAATAATGGTCAAATGTTTTGAATGTCTATATTTAGATTTCTCAATTGAAAAATGTACTAAACTAATAATAAACTTAGTTAAAATATCTAAGTACATAGTTCTTGCTTTATTCTGAACCGACATTGTTTAAGAGAAAAATACATTTTTTTATTTTGAAAGATCGCAGTTTAAATATACCGACGATTGCTTACATACTTATTGAATGTTATTCTGTATTATGATGAATATTGTGGAATAGATACATATGTATGTCTTTTTGTCTACATATTCTTATAGATCCAGCAAAAAAATAACTTCCAAAGAAGCGAAAAAGAAGTAGAATTTACTCCATGGAAGTACTGAAAAAGACCTGAAGAAGTGAAGATTTTAACACAGGCTTTTCGTAGGATGGATGTCCTTTTTATTTGATTCCAAATTCACTACTTCTGAAGTCATTCTCAAGAAGTAATTTTTATGCTCTTTTTTTGAAGTTATTCGGAAGTGAAATTGTATTATTATAGAATACCAAATTAGTTGTCTTCTATAATAATACAATTTCACTTCAGAATAACTTCCAAAAATTACTTCTTGAGAATGACTTCATAATATTATATAATAATATTAACATTAATAAGGACAATAGATACATTTAAAACAGAAGTCCAAAAATAAAATTTTTTATCTCACAAAATAGAATTATTTTCGCTTCTTCGGAAGTCATTAAAAATCACTTCCACAGAAGGTAAAACAATTCCCTAATTAAGTGGTGATAAATGTCATTCTTTTGAAAGTACTTCGATTTATTTTTGCTGGGTATATGTATATGGATGTTCTAGCTATGTCCATCCGTAATAAAAAATGGCTTCTTCATTAATTTTTTAATATCGACTTTTTATACCCTACACCACAATGTTTGTAACACCCTTAAAGTATACCAAACGGCTCAGAATCACTTTCTGAGTCGATTTAGCTACATCTGTCTGTTTATGGGTCCATGTAAAGCTTGTGCGCACACTACAGGTCTAAATTTTCAAGATAATTTGATTAAATTTGGCACATACTCTGGTTAAAATCGGTCCATTATTTCGCCTAGACCCATACAACCGTACCCGTCGAATGGAACACAATCAAATTATTCGTACTGTTCGAAATTGAAAAATATAATGAAAAGAAGTAAACTTATATTTTTGTGAATCCTTACAATTTTTTTGATAATTTTAACAGCTTGAAATTTATTCGAACATTATTTCGAAATTAGAAAATGTAAAAAGTTGGCTTCGAAAAGAACTAAAATTATATTTTTGTAAATAAGCAGAATTCTGATTATTTTAATAGCTTTAAAATGTTTTCGAACATTATTTCGTATTTCCGAACTTAATTTCGAACATAGCATTGTATCAAGTGTACTCTAAAATGCCATATTTGAGACAATTTAGGCTACAGAAACAGTTTTTATTGACTTTAAATTTAGAACTTATGTTAGAATTTTAGAAAATTTTACCTTTAGTTTTTAAGACCCAGAGATTATTTTAAGAGCATAAAATAACATAACTTCGAATATTCGAACATAATATTTTGTATTGCCATTAGCTGTACACACGACCGTGGTTTTTAAACAATTTACACCAATTAATTCGTCGTTCGTCTGCATAAGAAATAGAAATAAACCTATCGTTACGTACGACAAATTTCGTCATACGCAAAGTAGTGGACATTTTAAAATATTATTGTAAAACGAAATAATTATTTTCTGTTTTATTAAATCTATTTATTTAACAATATTAAATAATTGTAAACTAAAATGCTTTGAAAGCGTTCTCAATACAAATAAAAAGCTTTTTTCAAAACTTAAGTGGTCGGGCGAGATAACTGTGATAGAATATATCAATCAGGTTGTGTATTCGGTATATTGAGTATAACCAACGAGTACGTACAGTAAATATACATACAAGTATGTATTTTAGAGATGATGATAAGAAAAAAAAGCTGCTTATATTTTCAAATAAAGAATATAAATAACAACCCCTTTTAAAACAGTTTCAAATCAAACGTACAAGTGATCATTTCTCCAGAGAAATTAAAACAAGATATCGTAACAAAAAAAAAAAAAAAACGTAAAATATAATCTCGCCTACAAAATGTGGATAGAATTTTTAATACTTTTAGCCGTGGCCGGTTATTTATTTTATCGTTGGGCCACCATAAATAATAATTTCTTTAAAGATCGTGGCGTACCGTATTCGAAACCTACAATATTGTTTGGCAATTTTTTCGAAATGGTTTTAAGAAAAAAATCAATGTTTGATTTAATAATTGATATTTACAATGAACATAATGGCAAGTAAGTTAAATTTACTTTCAATGAAAAGAAAATTGCGTGTTCGTTATGTGCTTTTTTTTGTAAAAGAAAATTGAGAAAATTTAATAAAAAGTTTAACCTTGAACTTGGTTTTTCATACATGATAAAACTTATAAAAGCTATGATGATAAATTCAAGGCCAATTTTATTTATTAAAAAAAAAAAAACAATTATGTTCTCATGTGCATTTTGATTGTTTTGCATCGTTAATTACACAGGGCGACAGAAATCTTAAAAAATATTGAAACCTAGAGAATAACATATACTTTTCTAAAGAACTGATATGGCGTCAGAGTTTTTCAGCGTATCAGGTTTACGAGATATAGTGTCCTAAATTTTGAAAATCAAGCTTTAAGTTAAGGTATCTCGAAGAGGGAAAAATATACAATAAAGGTTATTTTATATCCGAGAGATTAGACAGATTAGATGACATAAAAGATTTTATAAATAAAGATTTCTTCTCGCTA